AACTCTGACATAATCTTAACCTACCCTCAACAAACTTGGTAAATTTTGGTTTTGCATCACGAGAAAACGGAGGAATTGACTTAGGCTATTTGCGACACTAACATTATGCCTAGAAATAGGACTTGAAGCATTGAGAAATGTACCCTGCCTCCTTAAGATGTACACATTTTAAGTAAAACGTGTCTCCCTTATGGGCCATTTGAGAGAATTATCAATGATTTTTGTTTGCAGTACCTCGTTGGTACCCTTGCGGACCGCCAAGATGATGCGAGCTTCATGTATTACCGTGTTGGCGATCTCGCTATGGGCAATGGCTTTAGCAGGTGACATTTTGTTTACTTACTAGTCAAAATGTAAAAAAAGAAAACACTTCCAATTGTTTCTATGCAATTAATGTCAAGTACAGGTGCAAAGTTTGTATTTCTGTAGCTTGAAACTTACTTTGCATCGAAAATTGACTTTAACTCTCATTTTACAAGTTTCGACCCAATTCTTGCGTATTTGCGTATTCGCGTACACATCTTTTAATCTATTAATTTCTTTCTTTCAATGTTTTAAAGCAGCAGTTTGCAAACATTATGAAGCCATGTTTAAAGAGCTTCTCTGTCTGGACATGTGACTTTATATTACAATAAATCCCTAATGTTCTTTAAGATAGTAAAACCATTCTCAATTAGCAATGGTTATACGAACAAGGACAACTAATCAAGTATTAGTAAAAAAAAAAAAAAAAACTTACGATAACGTCAACACTTATTCCGATTTATACTTCAGGAGATGCGGACATGACCTGCCACATTATCAAAGAGACCGCGGCCGTCAATGACTTCACGTGGGATTTGCCCAACCTAGACATTGACCCAACAGTAGTCTGGTTCTCCGTCTACGCCAAAAGCAACGTGTATATCGCTTTGACAAGTGATTATGCACCCGACGCCGATATACCAATGTATGTCGTAGGTAAGTCATGATGTCATTTTCGTTTTTGATTTTACAAATTGCTCATTATCTTGAACAGAATTTTGTTGTCAATTTGTTAATTTAATTCCCTTTTAATAATGCATTAAAGTGAACGCAGTCATTTACCCTTACGTTTTAATAAATGACCTTTTTATGATTAGAAATTCATGTATTTTTAATTTAACACCAATTACGTTTATTTTTTCATCAATTACGGTTTCATTGTTAATAAATTACGCTATCCGTACATTAATTACGGTCTCATTGCACATGCATTACGTTTGTTAACTGTAACATTTTTTCAGGATATTTTTTGGATAAATAACATTAGAAAATGACATACGCAGCAGGCACCATGCTATGGAAGAAACAAATCTGTTGGTTTCAAAGTACGGTTATAAATTGTGAGTCTGCACTTTTGCATAATATTTCAAATAATTTCATGAATAATGACATTTAATAATGATAGTGGGATAACGATAACTCTTGTCGCCCCAATAGGGTGACTTTCCCATAGACTTGTGCACAAACCTAAACTGTCACCTAACCCAAGTTCACCTTATGTTTTTTCCACGAAATTTAGTATTTATACTAATTGGACCATGAGGAATCGATCTAAATGGTTTTTGACAGCAAAATTCCTTGTCTTAAGGGTCGTTTTCATAACAGGGCGACAGTTATTTTGTCGCCTCAATAAGGTGTATCGCCCTATTGTGGACGGAGTTCGCAAAACCTGTCGCCCTATTACAGTATAAATAGTAGTAATAATACTACCAAGTATCTCGATAGAATAAAGGCCTGACAGATATCTTTCGTTATACATGTTTGTTGAGTTAATTAAACTCATGTTTTCTTCTTCAAACCCCAGTTATCGGTGGGTACGGCAATTCAGTCTCCTACATAGCCAAGTGCCGGGACTGCGATCCGCTGGCCTCTGCGCTGGGGGAAAGCCTACAGTGCAACCGCCTGAATGAGTACTGGATTCGCTTCGAAGACGTGTTTCTGAAGGTGGGACATAGCGGCGAGCGGTACCCGTTCCTTAAGTACGAGGTGCCCGAAGATGACTTCAAACCGCTCCACTTGGGCTACTCCACGAGCACCCTCGGCCAGGGAATGTTCACCTTCGCCTTTGACAAAACTGGATGTGAGTTTTCGATTTTTTTATCAGGTTTATTATCATTTTATGTAGTCCCTTAAATGAGCAAGCCCGTGCTGTCTATAAAGAGCTGTATTCGGATAATTTTATGGGTTTTTTTGGTCTAAATGTAACCAATTTTATTCAGCAAACATTTTGATGCCCCATATTTTCAGATATTTTTACATTGGACAAACTTGGCCAAAATCATTGTTGTATTTTCGAAATTCTTTTTTCCGGCCGAAATAAGTGGATAGCAACGAACATCCCGGCGAAGTTATGATGTCAGAATCAATTTAAATCATGAAAATTAATCAAGGCAAAATTTCAACCCATTTTTCCAGTTTTCACGAAGAGACAAATTCAAACTTTAGAACGTTGTTCTGAGGGTCAGAAACAACGTGTGTACATAGGCGTTAGATTTTCATAGAGGCAAATTGAGCGCGCTTGTTTGACATTTTCAGTTTTCACGAAGAGACTTTTTGGACGTTAGTAGCGTGTGTTTGCTGCCACCAGCGTCTTAAAGGCAGGGGTGGATCTAGGAATTTTTACAGGCGGGAGGTGTAAGGTTTTATCAGAAAATCATTGCTGAAATGTAGGCCAGACAGGTATTTTGTCCGGGCACTAGGCTCCGCAAAATAAATTGTTGGGGGAGGGGCCGGTGCGTGCCGTAATTTTAATAAGAGCGCTGTTCAAATCCGATTATTAAAACTGTATTGCATAGTGTACACAACTACAAATACCACCTTAACCTAGCAGGCTCTGTTCGTATTTTGTGCGCAGGCGTATATTAATACCAGTATAATTTTTTTGGGTGACAGAGTGGGGGTGGGGGGGGGGATAGCATTAGTTTTCTATGAATTTCTATGGACACAAATTTGACAGCCCGAAAGGTCATTGCTTTTTAAAAACACAGTGTCACATGATGTGAAGGTTGAAGGCATTTCCTTTAGCCGACCAAAGCTAGGGTTATATTTGCGTTTTTAGAAAGAAAAAAGAGGAAACATACCTCAGTGAATTTCCGATGGTGCATTGAATTCATCCTGTGTTCCTTGTTTATTCCTGTCCCTCAGATCACATTTATAGCGACGTGATTTACTGGACGGGAGATCCATTCTGCTTGGATTGGTTCCTAAGTGAGCTCCCGGATGGCCTGTCCGAGTTCTGCTTCCAGGCCAGGGCGGAGGAGGGACCCATCTACGTCGTGCTCAGCCCGCAGAAATTCAGGAACCCCGGCGATGCTGCCTACGAAATAGGTGATTGATTGAAGTTTGCTTAATTCCTTCTGGTAATGGAACCAAGAATTATTCAAAATGCACATGCTGCTAAGTAAGATGTGTGGGATGCTGCAGAGAAAGGCAGTGACGAAATCGTCAAAAGGTTGTTCCAGTGAAAGCTTACGGAATCAAGTTGGGACTCAAAAACCAAATCAACATGGCGCTATTGGAAAGTGAGGACAGGACGACTGCGCCAATCTAAAAAGGAAATTTCTCGGAGCATTCCACATTATCCCATTCTAAAGAAATCAGTCTCTTTAAAAGTCCAGCAATGAGTGAACAAAAGGCTCAAGAAATTCGTCTCATTAAACGATTCAAGTGTCTTTATACTCCGAATAGAATATCGACCGCCTCAAATTCCTGGCAGTTTGCCATAACAGACCCAATCTACCTGGATGTTTGAACAACGCTAAAAGAATTCTATTGAGTACCCATGAAAGAGACTTTTAAGAGCCGCACGAGTCAAATAGATGTCAATCACGGTCAAAAATGTCGTTTCCTGATGCGTTGCATAACAGCTGTCTAGTATAGTGGGTAAGGACTGCATTCAAGCAGATTTTGTTTAATCGTGACCTACTTATCATGCACCGGTTTAAGACTGGCGATCCAAAGTGGCGCCGATCAAAACAGGATTAGAAAGAACTTAGGTGGACCAAAATTCCGTTTCAGGCAGGTGAGCTACAGCTATTAATTTTCCATCGACTAGACCCAGGATTCGTCTCGACGAACACAACAGTCGATCTTTCGATTTTGTCTACTCTGTTTCAACGTCGTACATTTTTATGCTCGGTGCGGCCCTTGAAGGCAAGCCGGTATTATTTGGCCTCACGATTGAATGTTTTATTCCTTTCTCTTCTTCCCGTGAAGTGATTGGTGCATCGGGCAATTCCAAGACTGTCGTCCATTCCGTGGTTCGCGGTGATGTTGCCCTCACCTCGGCCGATACACCAGCCATCCTCAACCCGTCCAACTTCGTCGAGTACTGCGTCACTTTCAAGCCGCTTCTCATCAGCTTTGGTACCGCCAGTCGTAAGGACATCTTCTCCTGGGTCCGGGACCCCAACATGCCCATCAAGCACGTGGGCTTTGCAGGTAGTCTGATCCCTGCCGCCTTCCTCTTCCCGGTACAGTTCATCCCGAAAAGTGAGTACTGAGCTTTTTTTTATGATTACCTGATGAACAAGAGAAAACTTGTGTCTGATTTGTTTTGAGATAGGGGTCGAGAAGTAATGTACAGATTGAAAACATGCGAAAAGGATGACAAAATATATTTAACTCTAGCGGGCCCTGTAGTAAAACTTACTCATTCAGACAGGGTCAGTAAGAAATTCAGGTTGAGAGAAATTCCTCAACTTTTTGTTTTGCAGTACCGGGTATGTTCCCGTTGTTTGGTATTCATAGGCTAGGTCGCCATAAAAAAGTACTTCCCTCTTTGTCACAAGAGGGCGTGTTGGCGCAGGGTTCCATAAACTTGGGTGCAACTATTACCGATTATCACTTTAAAATTGTCAATAATAATTATTTAAATAATTTAATATTATCCTACCAGGCGGGATACCTGAACGCTATTTTGTTTTTATTTTTTACTGGCGTTACCACTTTTTTGGTTTTTGTTTCGAATCATACAGACGGTCAAGAAATAATCAATCTACCCCCACAACCACCCGTAGGTGCAGGTAAGTCGATAAATGGAGTGTATTTCGATTTTTGTTTGAATAATCTTTTTACATTTCTTGAGCTATACATTGCTCGTTTTGATTCGAAACCTAAAATTTCACGCAAGATAAACAACAAATGTAGGCCTATAATTTGACATTTTTTGAGTTTTAAAATAGGTTAGGTTTTAGGTTTAAAATGATCAGGCAGCCCCTATTCTAAGTTGACATTAATACTGCTGAAATTTAGTCTTAGAAGGATCCCATGGACCATGCCCCACTTGTTGCAAACTTGATTGACTTGTACCGTGGAAAAGCCTTACCTTTTTAAATGCACTGCCTAATTATCATTTGCATTGGGGAAAAATATGTGCATTACATCAAAGGGGAACAAACATGATAATGCCATTTGATGGCAGTGCGTGCCCTCCGCATGCGATTATTTTTATGCAACCAAGTATGGTCAGTGACTGAATCCTGGAGGTTTCAAGTTCACTTTCTCAAGGGATTTGTACATTTTCATTTTGTTTCCACCAAAAGTGAATTTTGTTCCCATAATTGTCCTTAATCAACTCCTGATGATCGAAAGAAATGACATTCAACCTTTTCTTCTCATTCATGGCTTTGGATGATTTTTTTTTATAAAAGGGAAGTTAACTCCGAGAACCGTTCCATTCCCAACTGACGCATTTGCATTGTGGTCATTGACTATACATGGTTGCATAAAAAAAATTGCCTCCGGCACTTGCCAGGTATGACGTCAAAGGTGACATTCGATCTAAAGATTGAACGTTTTCACTAAACTTTCTTTATTTACTTTGTTTGCATTGTCTTCTGTAACTAACCCGTCTTTCCAACTCTTATCGCTGGGCAGACAAGTGTCTTGAAACATCGCCTCCTTGCGGAGACAACGGAGTTTGCTACGAAGACCATTCCTTGTCGAGTGGCTTTCGATGCGAGTGTACGAATAACTACAGGGGAGAACGCTGTGATGGTAGTTCGCAAATCCTTAATGAACGAGACAGTGTTATTTTGTAAAACTTATAGTCTCAATCGTTGGACAGTCCTTAACAGAGCAATTGTGTGCAACATCAATTCTTTATTTTCCATTTCAGGAAACCAACATTTTCCCGAAACGCATATTAGAAACTAAGACGTTAAACATTGCGCAACAACATTTTAGTTGTGTGAATTCATCGATTTGCATGATGAAAATGTAATCTTTTGAACATAATCCACTGAGTTTGGTGCTAAACTTTTGTTTCTTTTGAATTGCTTTCCTGCCCATAGAAAAACCAAGCGGTAGTAACCCCGAAGGTAGGGTGTTTCAATAGTTTACATTAAAAAAAATCTGAAATTGTAATAAACTGTCTGTATCATTTTACATTTTCGAATGTTTCAAAGTTAAATGCAACATATGTTTTTCTTTTTCTTTTTTACATACACAGGGTGACCCCCCCCCCCTGCAACCCTAAAACAAGTTAACCAAAAAGGGGTCCGTGGATTTTTATGTTGATGGTATCAGAGGGACGATGAGAGCTTGTCCTTGCAAATTCTGGGGAAAAATATAATGAAAATAGCACTTGAGGTTGCCGAGAAAATACCAATTATATAAATGTAGTGATTTTCATCTTGTACACAAAACATTACCACAGTAAGGATTTTTTTACTGTTCATACTAAAGAAATTGCACAGTAGAATTACAGTAAAATATTTCACTGTTTGGAGTAGTCATCTACAGGATAAAAAATGACAACTTTTACAAAATTGGCATTTTCTCAGCAACCCAAAGTGCTAATTTCATCATTTGTTTTTCAGTATTTAAAAGAAAATGCTTGCAGCTTTAATCTGATACCCGAAACACAAAATTCACCGATCCTTTGTTTTAGCTGCAAACGTTCTAGACTTGCATTTTTGGGGGTCACCCTGCATATACATTTTCTTACACCATACAACTTAATTTGGCTTTTGAAGTTGCGTTTTGCATCTTATATTTTGAAATATGCTTCGTATATTAAATGCGTTATTAATAATAATCTTGCAGACCTTTATTGGTTGTAGCTGTCGTTGTCGCTGACGTTTTGCTTATTCTAAGTATTAACTCGGTTATGAGTGATGATATGACCTTGATTTAAAATATGTGTTGAATTTTTTGTTTTGTTTTTTGATGTGTGCTCTCTTGCAGAACCTGCTAAGCCGCCACCTAGACCACAAGGTAATTGTTAGACGATTCAAACAAAAGTGAAAAGATCGTTTTCTCCCTCTGAAACCAAGTTCAAAAGATATTGTTTTCACTTAATATAATTGTGCATTGCTTTTCATTCGACGAAGCTTTTTTTTGTTTGCACTTTTTGAAATGTTGAAATTGCCTTTCTCTGTAGACTTCTAAACATTTAGTCACGAAATGTTTCAACAATTTTATAACATAGTGTTGGGTAGGAAAGCCACATTGCTTCTTCTGTAACTAAGTTCATTCCCATGTTGCAAAGTGCTACCACACATTTCAAGCATAAATTTCATGGAAGAACTCTGAAGCCTTACATAGCGCTCGTATCTACCAACAATTAGTTAGTCAAGGCGCTGGTGATTATGTCTATTATTAAAGACAGATGAATGAATTTAAAGAGAAATATGAGACCCATTATGTTACACCTTATAAGGGCTAACAAGGTGCTGTGGCGCATATTGCAGCCACTGCCAGGAGCACTCGGGCAAACCCCTTCTCTTAGCAATAAATGTTACTGGGTTCTTTAACGTGCATTACACAACACACAGGACCTACGGCTTTACGTCCCATCCGAAGGACGAAGCAATAATGGTAAAGTGCCTTGTTCAAAAGCACCATGTTCCCTGTCGGGATTCTAACCCATGTACCACGGCACACGAGTCGAACACCGTAACTATAGACCACAGCATCCCACAAGAATACTTATGTTACTGACATCTTTTGGGATACCGCTGACTCGTGCATTTTTTTAATGGTATTCACGAGCGTCCTAAATAAGAAATCTATTCTTACCTTTTTCAAGGGAATGGGTTTCGGGTAAAAAAGCATTTTGTGTATCTCTGCCAAACCCTGCATGCTTGTGAGTCCGTACATGTTTGATTTCTGGTACCTCCGTCATTTTGACTCTATCCAAAGAAGGTCATTTTAAGTTTGCAACGTCAGGCTGCATTAATTGTTCAGAGTGGTATATTTCAGGTCAATCCAGTCATTACGCAGTTCGAAGCAGTCCTATCAATTTTCATGTGTTAAAAAGTAGTAATTTTGTCCATATTTACAGACCCATGTCGTCCAAATAATCCCTGCAAGAACGGGGGAGTTTGTAGCAGTACAGGAGTTTCAAAATACACTTGCGCATGCGTGAACGGCTACAGCGGAGACAACTGCGAACAAGAACCTGGTAATATTAAACATAATACCTTTATTTGTGTTAATCCCATAGAGCTACATTAAATTTAATATAGCTCTATGGCTAATCCCAAGTTACCCATTCATCTAGAACAACCTATAACATTTTTATGCAGGGAAGAAGTGAACACCAAAGATTGAATTGCACTGCGGAAAAAAATTGACTAATATTAATTAGCAGTCTGCAATACATTTTCCGTAGTTGCGAGACTTCAATAAATCTTCGCATAATATAAACAACCACAGAACTGTTGTATACGTTTGAGAAAAAGTCAAACGTGCGTTTTTGTGTGCTTGAATTAGATATCAGTTAAGGGAATACTATCCATATAATACGGAGGTTGTTTTATGATACCGACATTGTTGACCTTTTAGTAAAAAGGTACATTAAAAAAAGTAATAGCACCTCGATTCTTTCAGATCCATGTCAACCCAACAACCCATGCCTAAACGATGGAGTCTGCAGAAGTATAGGAGGTGGGCAGTACACCTGCGAATGTGTGAACGGATACATGGGAGACAACTGCGAGGAAGAACCGGGTAAACTTACATAATATGATATTTAATTGATTGTGTATATGCATCACTCCTAGTAAATCTCTGTTTCGTGAGTCCTTTCAAGGGTGAAGGTCTGAAGCCGCGGGGGGGGGGGACACTACATCTGTATTTGTGTAGATGGTCACAATGGAACCAACTGCGAAGGAAAACCAGGTATGTACAGGTCTACATCTCGGAATCTACCTCAACCAAGGGTGTACGTATCCCTACACTGATTAGCACCTGCAATATGGTTATATTAATTTATAGCTCAGGTTTTCTCTTTTTTATTCAACCATAGTTGTTGTAATACCACATTCTCGATACTTTCAGATCCATGTCAACCAAACAACCCATGCCAGAACGGGGGAATCTGCAAAAGTACAGGAGGTGAACAGTACACCTGCCAATGTGTGAACGGTTACACGGGAGCCTTCTGCGAGGAAGAACCGGGTAAACCTACATAATATGATATTTAATGTATTGTGTACATCCATCACTCCTAGTAAATCCCTGTTTCGTCAGTCCTTTATGGGGAAATTGAGGTGTGAAGCCGCGGGGGGGGGGGGGGACTACATCTGTATTTGTGTAGATGGTTACAGTGGAACCAACTTCGGAGAACCAGGTATGTACAGGTCTATATCTCGGAATCTACCTCAGCCAAGGGTGTATCCCTACACTTAGGGGTACCCTCGCTCACCATTTTTGGCTGTGCTCCCTTTTTTACAGCCTCTAATTCTAAAAGAAGACGAACTCTCTCCCACCTCAGCCACTGAACCTCCATTCTTGACCGGTTCAGCTCTTCTAGGACAGAATCCTTGCCAGGCTCTACGGAGGCAGCACGGCTGTCCTTACTCATACTAACGTTTCCTCCTGACTAGGAAATCAGTCCCTACTAGGCTAGCAACACTAGGCCACTGACCACACAGCGAGATAGCGGAACCTCGCAGGAAAATTCAGCCTGCGGGGCCACTTGTTCCAAGTCTCTGGAATTTTCGAAACCCTCTGTACCACCCACCATCAGATGAATTCTGAACAGGATTGGCAGTTGCTGTCTCGCTGTACGTGGCAACGCTGACAACTCAGCCGAAATCCTCAACAGAATCCACACCACAACTACTGCCATAACAATCCCAACACAGTAGTACTGACCCAGATAAGCATACCCTGCATACCTGTGACACTACAAGTAGTCCTTAATTATCATGCACCTCTGTGAGGTACACCCATCCAAAACAAATATACAACCATTTTTACGTTATTATTGCCAAGCACAATTACAAATAAAATCGTAGATTATCCCACTTCTGACACCAGTGGCGGAATTAACTATACACCATTTGTGGCAGAAAAACTACTCGACACGATCAGTCCGACTGGGTTCTTTAACGTGCATTACACAACACACGGGACCTACGGCTTTACGTCCCATCCGATGGACAAAGCAATAATGCTAAAGTGCCTTGTTCAAGAGCACCATGTTCCCCGTCGGGATTCGAACCCATGTACCGCGGCACACGAGTCGAACACCGTAACTATAGACCACAGCATCCCACAGGAATACTTATGTTACTGACATCTTTTGGGATACCGCTGACTCGTGCAATTTCTTACTGGTATTCACGTGCGTCTTAAATAAGAATTTTTTTTTTACCTTTTTCAAGGGAATGGGTTTCGGGTAAAAAAGCATTTTGTGTATCTCTGCCAAACCCTGCATGCTTGTGAGTCCCTACATGTTTTATTTCTGGTACCTCCGTCATTTTGACTCTATCCAAAGAAGGTCCTTTTAAGTTTGCAACGTCAGGCTGCATTAATTGTTCAGAGTGTATATTTCAGGTCAATCCAGTCATTACGCAGTTTGAAGCAGGCCTATTAATTTTCATGTGTTACAAAGTGGTAATTTTGTCCATATTTACAGACCCGTGTCGTCCAAATAATCCCTGCAAGAACGGGGGAGTTTGTAGCAGTACAGGAGTTTCGAAATACACTTGCGCATGCGTGAACGGCTACAGCGGAGACAACTGCGAACAAGAACCTGGTAATATTAAACATACTACCTTTATTTGTGTTAATCCCATAGAGCTACATTAAATTTAATATAGCTCTATGGCTAATCCCAAGTTAACCATTCATCTTGAACAACCTATAACATTTTCATGCAGGGAAGAAGTGAACGCCAAAGACCACACGGCGAGATAGCGGAACCTCGCAGGAAAATACAGCCTGCGGGGCCACTTGTTCCAAGTCTCTGGAATTTTCCAAACCCTCTGTACCAACCACCATCAGATGAATTCTGAACAGGATTGGCAGTTGCTGTCTCGCTATGCGTGGCAACGCTGACAACTCAGCCGAAATCCTCAACAGAATCCACACCACAACTGCTGCCATAACAATCCCAACAATGCACACAGTAGTATACTACCCAGATAAGCATACCCTGCATACCTGTAACACTAATAGAGAAAGTTCATTATTTTTTATCCGAAATTGTCCCAACTCTCTAGATACTTTTGCTGAAGGCTATACTTTTTTTCCACTGATTTCAAAGGCAACTTTAAAAAAGTAGTCAGCGATTTCTAAGATTATAATTTCAGGCAATTTCTTTTTAAATTTCTCGTACGATGTGATGATTTTTTGTTAACAGTTGGGTAAAATGTGCATGCACTTTTTCCTTCTAAGCGGGTGATTTTGCTTGCAGTGTATTTGATTGCCTCGATTCGAAGTGTGAACATTTGATTTTTTTATAAACAAAAAATCATAAAACTGGCCAAAATTTGTGAATTGAAGTAATTTATTTTGAAATATTATTTTTTTTTTCAACAGGTTCCATCATCGTCATAACCGAAGATATTGAGGAGACGGATTTTCCCAGCATCCCTCCGCTTACCCCTGACGGTTTGTACGAAATCTGCATCCGGGTGAACCCAGAAGAAGCCGTTTTCGTCGGGATCTACAAGTCCAGAGCAGACGCCGACCAAAATCTTGCCATGTATGATCTGAGTGAGTATAAAAAGTTGAATTTCCATGTTCAATGCTAATCACTTCGTGAAAAGAGTTTATCGTGTAGTTTGTGTAATCTGAGTTACAGGTTTAATTGGTGTAGAAAGCACCTTCAGATAAAAAGAATTTCGACATACTTTTGGTGAGAGTCTCGTAACATGTCCGTAATAGGACACTCAAAGCGAGGGCTTCACAAAGAATGGATATCAAAAGGAAATCGAAAGAAAAATCAACAAATACCTCCAATTGATATTAGTTACGCTTAAGTCGGGACGGATTAAACTGGAAATCAATAATGTAAAACAAGATTTCATTTTGAGGTATTGCGTTTAGGCACCATATAACTTACGCATGGCTTAACTTTCATAAATGATAAACAAATGCATACCTTATGGATTTTTGTTTTTCATTTTCAATTTGTAACATTTTAATTACCCCCAGCTTTTGAATCTGGAGAACCTGCAACAGTTAAATCACAAGGCCAACCAGTAGGCGCTGAGGTGTCGTGGAGCGGAAGCCTGTCTTTCTGCATTGAAATTAGCGACCAAATCTCTGTATATCCGAAGGAGCCGGGAGCCTTGCCGTGGTGGACACTACCCAAGCCAGACGACGTAAAGCACATTGAAATAGGCTTTGCCTCCAGTATCACGACAACATGGACCATCATTCCGACATACAGTAAGGAACATGTAGGCTTATCTATTAACTGTGAAAATATAGAATTTGCATGACCAGAATTATTTATGGGACTATTTTGTTTTGAGAGCAAACTAAGGTTGTTTTTGTAAACACCGGCAATCGAGGACTCCCTATTGTCCCTAATACTTATTCCTTTGTTTGTATTCTTAACTTTTTGCAACACCTCTCATTGGTATTGTACACGAATTTAAATCGTGGACGTTCGGTCAATCGTCGACCATTTGCTTATGCCCTTACCCTTTTGTAAATCGAGGACACACTCGTGCAGCATCATCAATGAATTGAGGAAAGGAACGAAATCGAGGACGACCTCGATGAGAAAACGAGTGCAAAACTAAAAAAAAAGCTATTGCAAAAAAAGCTATTGCAAAAAAGGTAGAGTATTAACAAAGGAAAAGGGAAGTGGAACAATAGACAATTCTCGATTTACACCATAAACAAACGAGTTTGTTTATGACGTACATCGAGGACATACACGTGCAACATCATTGGTGAATCGAGGACAGGAACCAAATCGAGGACGACCTCGATTAACCAAATCGAGGACGACCTCGATTAACCAAATCGAGGACGACCTCGATTAGAAAACGTGAACAAAACTAATGAAAGCTTTTGCGAAAAATTACAAACAATTAAAGGAAAAGGGAACAGGAACAAAAGAAAATCCTTGATTTATACTATACACTGCAGGGAGTGAACCTGAAGTGTCCGAACCAAAACCAGAAAGACAGAACGGTATGAGTATCATTATCGAAAATTATACAAAATTGAACCAAGATATGTGTAAAATGATTAAGCGACCAATATAGTTTCCCATAGTGGCATTCATGTCCTACAGGAATCTCAGGACTTTTCAGGAAAGACCGAAGGGTGAGTATCATTATCGAAAATTATACAGTAACTGTACTCGGTTGGGTCTTGCATTCGATAGGACAAGCTTGTCAATCCTTTCTAAGAAGACGTATGATCTATAATTTGCAACGATGTAATTTACCTTTAACCATTTAACTAACAACATTTTCCTTTAATTTCAGAACCACCTTCAGGAAGTGAACCTGAAGTGCCCGAACCAAAACCAGAAAGACCGAAGGGTGAGTATCATTATCGAAAATTATACAATTACTGTACTCGGTTGGGTCTTGCATTCGATAGGACAAGCTTGTCAATCCTTTCTAAGAAGACGTATGATCTATAATTTGCAACGATGTAATGTACCTTTAACCATTTAACTAACTACATTTTCCTTTAATTTCAGAACCACCTTCAGGAAGTGAACCTGAAGTGCCCGAACCAATACCAGAAAGACCGAAGGGTGAGTATCATTATCGAAAATTATACAATTACTGTACTCGGTTGGGTCTTGCATTCGATAGGACAAGCTTGTCAGTCTTTTCTAAGAAGACGTAAGGTCTATAATTTGCATCGATGTAATATACCTTTAACCGTTTAACTAACTACATTGCCCCTGTGTGTACTGCAAAACCCGGATTATAATGTGAACCAGATATTCATTATATATACAGTTAATTGCACAACTTGTACTGATACATTTTAGGTTTAACTGTAATATTTTCTCTTTTTCCTGCAGTGTGTCCTGTACTAGATTGCCTGTTTCCTTGTCCCAAGGGCCTCAAAAAGGATGAGAACGGCTGTGATACTTGCGAATGCAAAGGTTCGATTTTCAGATCAAGTCGTATTTAGTTCAAAACAAAAGAATCTTCTGTTTCCGTGATCTGTTTTTGTAATCGCTAGGGCAACTCCAAAACTGTCCTCCTAGCACAGATCCCAAGTCACGTTTTCGAGGCTTATTGTTCTCTTCATGACTTCAGGGAAAGTCGACAATCGTAGGAAATGCCCAGCTGTACCCGGGGGTGTAGCAAGAATCTGCGAGGAGCGATGTGCCGCCGACAATAACTGTGAAAAGCAGCACAAATGTTGCTCCAACGGATGCGGCCACGTTTGCATAAAAGGTAAATTCAACCAAAGGCATTGATCATGAGAAAGGTCCCGGTGTAATGAGAAATGTGGACCCCTTTTTTGGTACCTGTACTGCGTATGCCTACGTTAAGACAGTGACAGGTCACGTGTGAGGGTTGGTGTCAATAGGTAAAGGTCACCAGATCTCAGTTTTGTCAATTGTGAGTTTAAGCCTAAACCATCCATATTGTTAATGCTATTTGACGTCAAAATTATACACTATTAAGTTAGCTAATGGCTATTCCACAATTATAGTTTCAAACATGATGATGTAAGCTGACATGTCAGATGGGGTACCAATTATAAGCCCACTCATTTTTTATTTAACACCTTTCATTTTCGTGCAGCATGTAAGCCTCTCAAATGCAAGAAGGCCTGTGAACTCGGTTACGTGAGGAACCGAAAGGGATGCGAAATATGTAAATGTAGAGGTAAATTCTAATCTCCTGTTCAAGCTTTTTTTAAATGGTTAGAAATAAATTGCGGCTTTTATATCGATAAATGACATATTTTTTTCCTTTTTTATTTATTGCCTTGTTTTGACTGATATTGATTTTACATCTCGTAGTTTTGTTATGTTGTGGGCTTTGTTATGGTTAGTCTTTACAATTAAATATTCCCAATAGAGGTGCTTCCTTTGGGAGAATATCTGGTTCTGGAAGGCAAGTTCTCGTTTCTCTGTTTACTTGCCTTCCGGAGCCCCCTGAAGAAAATCAACCGGTGTGCCGATATCTGCACACACAAAAATATTATCGATACCTCATTGAACTATGTGGAATGAAATTTTTGAATTTCAGTTGGTAAGGGAGAAATATTGCTACATTCAGTATTGATTGAAATTGTAACTCAATATTTTTTGTATTATTTTAAAATGTTTTCCAGAGCCATTTCAAGAGCGGCCTATACCAGATAAAGCTCCCCCACAAGGTATATTTTCACAAATTTCAAAAAAAAATCTTAACATTATTATTTATGTTTATATTCACCATAAAAATAACGCAAAATTATTGACATTAGAAGAAAAACTAGCATAAGAAAAACCCAAATTCAAGAAAATATTGATTGTATTTAACATCCCAATGAATTCAAACCCCGAAAATCATAATCTTTGAATCACGTGTTTAGGTATCAGAATTAAAAGCACGAAAGTGTGAACCTCAGTTTTAATAAATGAACCGTGGTTTAAGATTTGGTTGATATTGAATCTCGTATTTGTAAAATTGTTAGCGACAATATGGTTTCCCGAAGAGGAACTCACGCGATACGGAAATCGCGTTACTTAAAATTGCTGAGCCATTGATAGCTCCACCAAGTGAAGAAGAACCCAGAAGTAACTATCGTTGTCTACATAAATATTAAACTCGATTAAGTCTTACATATTAGTTGAAATTTGAAAACAATGGATACAAACAGTGCATTTAATCATTATATATACATATTTTTTGTCAATGTAAAGGTAATGTCAAATCTTCTTTTTAAGTGTTTCTTTTAAAATGGTAAGATATATTACGGCTTTTATAAAAATGAAACCTTATATGTTATCAATATTTTTATCTTTCTTTATTTCTTTGTTGTGACCGATATTGGACTAGTATTTTATAGGTGGTTATTGATAATGTTGACTATTTCTGCACATCATGGCAACAATCACCTGAGTGAAAAAGAGTTTGAGACCAAACCGTATGTCTGTGGAGAATAATGCATTATATTTCGTAGTGATAAAAATAAGATGTATTTATGCTACACAGTTTTACTTTGACGATTTTGCTTTACTTTCAGAACCACCTGCAGGGAGTGAACCTGAAGTGCCCGAACCAAAACCAGAAAGACCGAAGGGTGAGTATCATCATCGAAAATTATACAATATTCAATGGAGATAAGGTGTGCAATGATGAAATGGCGTTCACGCGATACGGAAATCGCGTTACTTAAAATTACTGATACATCGAAACCTCCAATAAGAAAAGAAAACCCCCAAAGCGACTATCGTGATCGACAATAATATCATACTCGATTAAGGCTTACATATTAGTTAAAATAATATTTTTAAAAAGGGTCAAAAGCATATTATTTTATCATTATTCATTTTGCTTTACTTTCAGAACCACCTGCAGGGAGTGAACCTGAAGTGCCCGAACCAATACCAGAAAGACCAAACGGTATGAGTATCATTATCGAAAATTATACAATATTACTGTACTCTGTTGGGTCTTGCATTACATGAGACAAACAGAAACAAATAATGGTCAAACTTTAATATCAATAAAAACCCGGTAAAGAATAAAAACCTCTAGTGCTCAGGTTAGTGCTTCCATGAAAGTGTTTCAAGTTCTTCGATTTGAAGGAAATAAATCCAGATGAGGCGTGCCATCCTCACGTTGACCACAGGTCTGGCACTACTAATGTCAAGAGTAAATGTCTTTTAATACCTTGTTCTTTGTTGTTGCAGTGTGTCCTCAAGTACGATGCGCATATCCCTGCCCCAAAGGTTTCAAAAAGGATGAAAACGGCTGTGGGACGTGCGAGTGCAAAGGTTTGATTTTAAGATAAAGTTGTATATAAAAAAGAAATTGTCTAAGATACAAACTTTTTCAGTGTTCTGTTTCTGTAATTTGTTTCTGCAATTGCCAGGGCAGATGTAAAACTGTCCTTCGAGCACAGAACCCAAGTCATGTTTTCAAGGTTCACTGTTTTCTGTTCAATATTTCAGGGAAAGTCGACCATCGTGGGAAATGCCCAGCTGTACCCATGGATGTAGCAGGAATCTGCGAGGAGCGATGTGCCGCCGACAATAACTGTGAAAAGCAGCACAAATGTTGCTCCAACGGATGCGGCCACATTTGCATCAAAGGTAAATTCAACCAAAGGCATTGATCATGACAAATGTCCCACTGTTACGTGAAATGTGGACCCTTTTCTTGGTACATGTATTGCACATGCCTACGTTAAGACACTGACAGGTCACGTATGACGGTTTGGGTCCATATGTATAGGACGTCAGATCTCATTAGAGTCCAATTGAAAAAACACCAGTCTTCTCAATTGTGTATTTAAGCTTAAACCATGCATATTGTTTCGAATGGTATTTGACGTCAAAATTGAACACTATTAAGTTAGCTGATGTCTATGCAACATTTGCTATTTCAAACATGAACTGTAAGCTCACGTGACAGATGAGGTACCAATTATAAGCCCACTCATTTCTATAACACCTTTTATTTTCGTGCAGCATGTAGGTCTCTAAAATGCAAGAAGGCCTGTGAACTCGGATTCAAGACTAACCAAAAGGGATGCAAAATATGTCAATGTAAAGGTAATGTCAACTCTTCTTTTTAAGTGTTTCTTTTAAAATGGTAAGATATATTACGGCTTTTATAAAAATGAAACCTTATTTGTTATCAATATTTTTATCTTTCCTTATTTCTTTGCTGTGATCGGTGGTTATTGATAATGTTTACTGTTTCTGCACATCATGGCAACAATCACCTGATTCAAAAAGAGTTTTATTTCGTAGTGATAAAATAAGATGTATTTATGCTACACATGTTTACTTTGACAATTTTGCTTTACTTTCAGAACCACCTGCAGGGAGTGAACCTGTAGTGCCCGAACCAAAACCAGAAAGACCGAAGGGTGAGTATCATTATCAAAAATTATACAATATTCAATGGAGATAAGGTGTGCAATGAAATGGCGTTCACGCGATACGAAAACCGCGTTACTTAAAATTACTGAGCCATCAAAACCTCCAACAAGCGACTATCGTGGTCGACAATAATGTCATACTTGATTAAGGCTTACATATTATTTAAAATAATATTTTTAAAAAGGGTCAAAAGCAAAGTATTTTATCATTATTCATTTTGCTTTACTTTCAGAACCACCTGCAGGGAGTGAACCTGAAGTGCCCGAACCAAAACCAGAAAGACCGAAGGGTGAGAATCATTATCGAAAATAATACAATTACTGTACTCGGTTGGGTCTTGCATTAGATGGGACAAACAGAAATAAATAATGGTCAGACGTTTATCAGACTGATAAATCATATAGTTATGTAATATGGGTGTATCCATAGAAAGAGCAAAGTATGGGTGAATCTTTGTTAATAAAAAAAACAATTAAAAAAAAAGTCAACCAGGCTACATTGCTGCAGTACATAAGCTGAGTTTAATATCAATGAGTTACCTAATTATTATTCACTATTTATTTTTTTCATGTAGAATGTAAGCCATTCAAATGCAAGAAGGCCTGTAAATTCGGTTACAAGACGAACAAAAGGGGATGCAAAATATGTCGATGTGAAGGTAATGTCAAATCTTCATCTCAATTTTTTGTTTCAAAAATTATTAGATATAGAATGCTTTGTTTTGACCGATATTTGTTTGATATTTTGCAATTTAGTGTATTTATGGGTGGTAATCGATAATGTTTACTATTTCAGCACACCATGGCAACAATCAGCTGATTGAAAGAGAGTTTTGACCAAACATTGGGTCTTTGGAGAATAATGCATTTTATCTTGTAGTGATAAAATAAAATATATTCATTCTACGCCTTTTACCTTGACGATTTTGCTTCACTTTCAGAACCACCTGCAGGGAGTGAACCTGAAGTGCCCGAACCAAAACCAGAAAGACCGAGGGGTGAGTATCATTATCGAAAATTATACAATTACTGTACTCGGTTGGATCTTGCATTAGATGGGACAAACAGAAATAAATAATGGTCAGACGTTTACCAGACAGATAAATCATATAATTATGTAATAGGGGTGTGTCCATAGAATGAAAATAAAAAGAAATATGGGTGTATATCTGTTAATAAAAAAAGTCACCCAGGCTACATTGCTGAAGTACATTTAGCTAAATTTAATGTAAATGAGTTACTTAATTACTATTTACTATTTATTATTTTATGTAGAATGTAAGCCATTCAAATGCAAGAAGGCCTGTCAATTCGGGTACAAGACGAACAAAAGGGGATGCAAAATATGTCGCTGTGAAGGTAAAGTCAAATCTACATCTTAAATTTTCTTCAAAGATTGTTAGATACAATAGGATTTTTACAATAATCAACCGTATTTGTTATCTATATTTTCATCTTTCTTCGTTGCTTTGTTTTGACCGATATTGGTTTGACATCTTGTAATTTGATGTTTTTATGGGTGGTTAACGATAATGTTTACTATTTCTGCACGACATGACAACAATCAGCTGATTGAGAGAGAGTTTGGACCAAACATTGGGTCTTTGGAGAATAATGCATTTTATCTTGTAGTGATAAAATAAAATATATTCATTCTACGCCTTTTACCTTGACGATTTTGCTTCACTTTCAGAACCACCTGCAGGGAGTGAACCTGAAGTGCCCGAACCAAAACCAGAAAGACCAAAGGGTGAGTATCATTATCAAAAATTATACAATATTCAATGGAGATAAGGTGTGCAATGAAATGGCGTTCACGCGATACGGAAATCGCATTACTTAAAAGTACTGAGCCATCGAAACCTCCAACAAGAAAAGAAAAACCCCAAAGCGACTATCGTGGTCGACAATAATATCATACTCGATTAAGGCTTACATATTAGTTAAAATAATATTTTAAAAAAGGGTCAAAAGCAAAGTATTTTATCATTATTCATTTTGCTTTACTTTCAGAACCACCTGCAGGGAGTGAACCTGAAGTGCCCGAACCAAAACCAGAAAGACCGAAGGGTGAGAATCATTATCGAAAATAATACAATTACTGTACTCGGTTGGGTCTTGCATTAGATGGGACAAACAGAAATAAATAATGGTCAGACGTTTATCAGACTGATAAATCATATAGTTATGTAATATGGGTGTATCCATAGAAAGAGCAAAGTATGGGTGAATCTTTGTTAATAAAAAAAACAATTAAAAAGTCAACCAGGCTACATTGCTGCAGTACATAAGCTGAGTTTAATATCAATGAGTTACCTAATTATTATTCACTATTTATTTTTTTCATGTAGAATGTAAGCCATTCAAATGCAAGAAGGCCTGTAAATTCGGGTACAAGACGAACAAAAGGGGATGCAAAATATGTCGATGTGAAGGTAATGTCAAATCTTCATCTCAATTTTTTGTTTCAAAAATTATTAGATATAGAATGCTTTGTTTTGACCGATATTTGTTTGATATTTTGCAATTTAGTGTATTTATGGGTGGTAATCGATAATGTTTACTATTTCAGCACACCATGGCAACAATCAGCTGATTGAAAGAGAGTTTGGACCAAACATTGGGTCTTTGGAGAATAATGCATTTTATCTTGTAGTGATAAAATAAAATATATTCATTCTACGCCTTTTACCTTGACGATTTTGCTTCACTTTCAGAACCACCTGCAGGGAGTGAACCTGAAGTGCCCGAACCAATACCAGAAAGACCGAAGGGTGAGTATCATTATCGAAAATTATACAATTACTGTACTCGGTTGGATCTTGCATTAGATGGGACAAACAGAAATAAATAATGGTCAGACGTTTACCAGACAGATAAATCATATAATTATGTAATATGGGTGTGTCCATAGAATGAAAATAAAAAGAAATATGGGTGTATATCTGTTAATAAAAAAAGTCACCCAGGCTACATTGCTGAAGTACATTTAGCTAAATTTAATGTAAATGAGTTACTTAATTACTATTTACTATTTATTATTTTATGTAGAATGTAAGCCATTCAAATGCAAGAAGGCCTGTCAATTCGGGTACAAGACGAACAAAAGGGGATGCAAAATATGTCGCTGTGAAGGTAAAGTCAAATCTACATCTTAAATTTTCTTCAAAGATTGTTAGATACAATAGGATTTTTACAATAATCAACCGTATTTGTTATCTATATTTTCATCTTTCTTCGTTGCTTTGTTTTGACCGATATTGGTTTGACATCTTGTAATTTGATGTTTTTATGGGTGGTTAACGATAATGTTTACTATTTCTGCACGACATGACAACAATCAGCTGATTGAGAGAGAGTTTGGACCAAACATTGGGTCTTTGGAGAATAATGCATTTTATCTTGTAGTGATAAAATAAAATATATTCATTCTACGCCTTTTACCTTGACGATTTTGCTTCACTTTCAGAACCACCTGCAGGGAGTGAACCTGAAGTGCCCGAACCAAAACCAGAAAGACCAAAGGGTGAGTATCATTATCAAAAATTATACAATATTCAATGGAGATAAGGTGTGCAATGAAATGGCGTTCACGCGATACGGAAATCGCATTACTTAAAAGTACTGAGCCATCGAAACCTCCAACAAGAAAAGAAAAACCCCAAAGCGACTATCGTGGTCGACAATAATATCATACTCGATTAAGGCTTACATATTAGTTAAAATAATATTTTAAAAAAGGGTCAAAAGCAAAGTATTTTATCATTATTCATTTTGCTTTACTTTCAGAACCACCTGCAGGGAGTGAACCTGAAGTGCCCGAACCAAAACCAGAAAGACCGAAGGGTGAGAATCATTATCGAAAATTATACAATTACTGTACTCGGTTGGGTCTTGCATTAGATGGGACAAACAGAAATAAATAATGGTCAGACGTTTACCAGACAGATAAATCATACAATTATGTACAACGAAATATGTGTTTCTCCATAGAAAGAAAAAAATATGGGTGTATCTTTGTTAATAAAAAAACAATTAAAAAGTCAACCAGGCTACATTGCTGCAGTACATAAGCTGAGTTTAATATCAATGAGTTACCTAATTATTATTCACTATTTATTTTTTTCATGTAGAATGTAAGCCATTCAAATGCAAGAAGGCCTGTCAATTCGGTTACAAGACGAACAAAAGGGGATGCAAAATATGTCGATGTGAAGGTAATGTCAAATCTTCATCTCAATTTTTTGTTTCAAAAATTATTAGATATAGGATGCTTTGTTTTGACCGATATTTGTTTGATATTTTGCAATTTAGTGTATTTATGGGTGGTAATCGATAATGTTTACTATTTCAGCACACCATGGCAACAATCAGCTGATTGAAAGAGAGTTTTGACCAAACATTGGGTCTTTGGAGAATAATGCATTTTATCTTGTAGTGATAAAATAAAATATATTCATTCTACATCTTTTTACTTTGACGACTTTGCTTCACTTTCAGAACCACCTGCAGGGAGTGAACCTGAAGTGCCCGAACCAAAACCAGAAAGACCAAAGGGTGAGTATCATTATCGAAAATTATACAATTACTGTACTCGGTTGGATCTTGCATTAGATGGGACAAACAGAAATAAATAATGGTCAGACGTTTACCAGACAGATAAATCATATAATTATGTAATATGGGTGTGTCCATAGAATGAAAATAAAAAGAAATATGGGTGTATATCTGTTAATAAAAAAAGTCACCCAGGTTACATTGCTGAAGTACATTTAGCTAAATTTAATGTAAATGAGTTACTTAATTACTATTTACTATTTATTATTTTATGTAGAATGTAAGCCATTCAAATGCAAGAAGGCCTGTCAATTCGGGTACAAGACGAACAAAAGGGGATGCAAAATATGTCGCTGTGAAGGTAAAGTCAAATCTACATCTTAAATTTTCTTCAAAGATTGTTAGATACAATAGGACTTTTACAATAATCAACCGTATTTGTTATCTATATTTTCATCTTTCTTCGTTGCTTTGTTTTGACCGATATTGGTTTGACATCTTGTAATTTGATGTTTTTATGGGTGGTTAACGATAATGTTTACTATTTCTGCACGACTTGACAACAATCAGCTGATTGAGAGAGAGTTTGGACCAAACATTGGGTCTTTGGAGAATAATGCATTTTATCTTGTAGTGATAAAATAAAATATATTTATTCTATACCTTTTTACTTTGACGATTTTGCTTCACTTTCAGAACCACCTGCAGGGAGTGAACCTGAAGTGCCCGAACCAAAACCAGAAAGACCGAAGGGTGAGTATCATTATCAAAAATAATACAATATAATACGGCCTGATAATAACAAACAGTGTTTGTTATCTATATTTTTATCTTTCTTTGTTGCTTTTTTTTTACTGATATTGTGTTGATATCTTGTAATACGGTATATTTTTATGGGTGGTAATCGGTAATATTTACTCTTTTTTTGACACCATGGCAACAATCAACCGATTCAAAAAGAGTTTGGACCAATCATTGGGTCTTTGGAGAATAATTCATTTTATCTTGTGGTTAATCAAAAAATGTATTTAATCTACATCTTTTTACTTTGACGATTTCGCTTTACTTTCAGAACCACCTGCAGGGAGTGCACCTGAAGTGCCCGAACCAAAACCAGAAAGACCGAAGGGTGAGTATCATTATCGATAATTATACAATTACTGTACTCGGTTGGGTCTTGCATATTAGATTAAGACAAAGGAAATAAAGACAGGTCAGACTATATCAGACAGATAAATCATATAATTATGTACCCCGAATGATGGGTGTATCTCTAAAGTTGCAGACGTGCTCAACAGCCCTCACGACACTGTGCTTAACACACTGTGCTTAACACAGTAAATTCGCCACGAAAACACACACATATAAATGCTATATAATAAGCGCGAAAAATCTGGATAATAATTTTCCTTTTAGATTATTAAAACCTGTCGTGAAAGAAAAGTATACATTTAGGCCGCCCATCCTTGTCTTGGCGTCAGGCCAAACCGTTTTCGTTTTAATTAAAGAAAAGAAATCCAGCAATCTGTTTATAGAAAATATTTTCTGGGTACGCGCTGCCGGCCAATGAGAACACCAGGCCAGCGCGCGCACATGTCGACGGCGGTACAGTGTAACCAATTAACTGACACTGGAGTTACGGTCACAAAGAAACACTTTCTTGAAGTTATTTACATCTCTGAACAATCAACCATTCAACATGCTGATTCTGTGTACACACTGCATGCATCAAACTTGGTGTCTATATTGAACCACATATCCATAATAGCTACAACATAATACCAACACAATTTTACAGATCTTATTCAGTTAGTTTAATGCCATGCAAACTTCTTTTAACAGCATGCCCTGAGCCAGAGTGTGATGTGGATTGCGCAGATGGATTTGAAATGGACGCTGAGGGCTGCCAGACGTGCGATTGCGTATGTAAGTTAAGCTAATGTTTATCTGTTTTGATAGTTTTTAGAACTTGTTTTCAGAAAAAAAATCCACTTCCAAACTGTCGGTTGCAAGTGGTTGAGTAGTCTACCTGTTTGTAACTTTACAGATAAACTTTTCACCCGATCCGACAACCCGCCGTCATTAATAATCGAGGCTTATTACGTGTAAATGTCACGCTATAAGCGTGTCGGTATCATATAATGCGCCGAATGCATTACGTATAACAAGCACAGCAGTGTTTAATCTGGTAGGCATAACAAACAAACAAATTGAAGGTTGGTCGAAGCGGCTTGCGTAGTATAGTAGTCAGTGGGAAGGATTGGTTTTTAGAAGGTACGTGGTTCGAATCCTGGCCGAAGACTTCTTTTTGATATCCTGCAAGAATTCATACCGTTAAGTTGTTTTATTACAAGGGAAAAACAAGGCTCACTTTTTTTACGTGCTGTTGACATCTACCGGCTTCGCTTATTAGCGTGACAAATACATAACGTGCTACTATAATAATACCGGCACGCTTATCGCGTGGTATTTACACGTACAAAGCCTTGCTTATTAACGACGGTGGGTAGTCCGATCGGGTGAACTTTTCGAGTGAGTATTGATTTCCCCTACCCATCATTCCCGCTATGTCTCTTCATTAAGTAGAGTAAGGGTCGGGCTACGGGGAACTCCCCCAATCCGAGTGATGTGCCCCCTAGCTGATTTGTACGCTTTAACTTGAAACTAATCCATTGCCGTCTAAAAAAAAACTACCCACATTACTTACCTCATCCATGTTGGACCCCGGCGCATTAGAATGTGCGTCACTAGTAAACCTTGCTTTCTTCTTCAATACGATTTCCTGTATATTATTGAAAGATCCAAGTGTAACTTAAGTAATTTGATACCCATGCCTGGCCTCCAATCAATCCCATTTTACCCCCCCCCCCCCCAATCCGCTTGAATTTGAAGTAGACAACAAAGAGTTGTCGGTGTTACAAACCTAATGGGTTTCCCTCTCCAATTCCAGTTATTGTAACAGTCCACTACAGAACATGTCCATGAGCCTCCGAGCGTTTCAAAATATATCCCTGGCCTCTGGTATAAAGTTTTTCTTTTTGTGGTCTAACAGTGTGTCTCGCCGCCTCTTCTTTGCCCTCTCCCTAATATAATCAATGGTAGACTAAAGTGCCATTGAGCTTGCGATTGATCGAGTTGGTGGTTAACCCCGAAGATTTACCACTGAACTTACTATTGTTGATACCAATGGTTAGCGTTGCCATGCCGTTTTGGAACGTTACCACAGGTACACCACAACTTTTTTCTATGGGTTTTATCATCGGTTTGCCACGGAATGCATCACTGAACTTACCACCGTAATACCATTGGATGGAGACAATGGTAAACCGGAGGAAGCACCATAAGGCCTAATCTTACCATTGATGCATCATTGAAAATACCATTGATTCTACTTTTGATACCCATTGCATTGGTTACCATTCACCACTATTGGATTACCATTCACCACTATTGGATTACCATATAGAAAGCATATACATGTATTACCACAACCATCGAGTGCCATTGATGTTACCGTTGAACACCATGCAGTACAAATGGTTACCCTTCATTACCATTGGTTACCATTAAATAACCACTGGAAGAAGAGGACGGCTTGTACCTTTGCTGTTTCTTGACATCCAGTCAGCGCGGCAACACCATAATTCACTGGGTTCAAAGAATAATGGAGTAATTCCTCTTGAAAATGATTTCGTTCACTCAGACATTCCAGAAGAAGTCGAAGGTGAACAACAACCTGAAGATGTGTACGGCACGGTTCTGACGACTACCGGGGGTACCAAGGAGATTGTCATCAGCACGGAGGTGGACACAACACAGGAGCAAGAGTTCACCATCGACCTCAGTGACCCGGTGGAGTTCTTGCTGGTATCAACGGAGGGAACTCTTGGGATCGGTAAAAGTCGAGGAATTATAGCATGAAGTCATTGGTTCAATTTCTGGTTGAAACTAGCTGTAAGCCGGATATTGTTGACTGGTTTTAAACTGGTTTAACCGGCTCGAAAAAAAGCTAGCTAAAACCAGTTCAAAACCATAGTAGTTCAAAACTAGTCACCAATTTTCAGTTGAACTGGAAGCAGTTAAACCAGTTGAACTGGTTTCAACTGGAATTTTCAGCTGGGGTGTAATATTGTCTTTTGTGAGAAACAACCTGGCAAGAATGTAATATTATTATCTTAACAATAATAATGACTTACCGTATTAATCTATGGACCAAGTTTTTTTTAGGGTAATGAGTAAAGCATGTTTAAAAGACATTGCTCTGTTGATGGAGTAAAAAAAAATCGATTTGGTGAAACTGGTTTGAACGGCTGATGTTTGAACATAAATCTTAATACATTTATTGCAATCGGAATGAAAAGGAATTGGCCTGAAGTTTATTTTTGGAAGACTTGGTCGACAAAGAAGTCTTTCCCGTTCAGAGCTATTCCAAAATCAAACGACTCGTTAATACCAAAAGGCTGTGCAACTGCTAATAATTCACAGACCATTTTCACTATTATTCTTCCAAAACAGTCGTGGTAAAGAACTATGTTGAGATTGTGACCTCTAGTGGCAAGACGCTGAAGTCCGTGAAACTACCATCTTGGTGTCTAAGGCAACCAGAGCTCACGTTCTCCGTCAGTTTCTTCACAACCGGCTTCAAGCTGCTTATCATCACAACTTCTGGAGAGGAGAGAGTCCTGACGAAGTATGTCAAGTCCAACAAGAGAAAGTTCAGCTGCCGTGCGCTCAAGGTGCGATCGAAGGGTACCAAGAAGTGCAAAGTCAAGTACAGGCACAAGCGAAGAAAAGGTAAGAAAACTGTCGGGCATGTGCCTCTTCCAGCGGGGTGGATCCGTGCCCGGGAGTCTGGGGTGGGGGATGACCATTGGGGGTTGAGGGATGACCAAAATCAAAGAATTTCCGGGCTATGACTATTCGAAAAGCGGCGGGGAGGGTGGGGGGTTAGAAACCACCGACACTCTAGGTGCTGCTGTTCATTATACAAATTTACAACTTATGCAAACTTGCTCGTTCATGTCCATTAAAGGTAGAGTACATCATTTGTCATTTGTGGGGTTTTTTTTGTATGAAGCAAAAGGAGTGCTCAAAATCTAGGAACTTACCTTATGAAGTTTTAACTCTGTGAATGCTGTATATTTTGAGGAAAAAAATATTCTAGGATCTCGATTTCAATTAAAAAGTGGCCGAGTATTGGTTTGAATTAGCCCGAAATCAGCATCTGGGACACGTTCTCATTCTGCTGATTGCAGCTACGCAAGGTCACGCACCGTACAGACAAATTATAGCAACCGTGTTCAAGTTACTGAAGGATATTTCTAAAAATGCGTCTTTCGACGCATCTTTGGAATTGACCTTCTTTTGTTGCTTTCTTCCAAATGACAGCATGCCAGAAAGAATAATTTCACAGGGAGTTTAGTGACATTACTACCTTTAAACTAAGTATGCTTTTCAACAATAATTTTGCCAGTTACTTTTTCGATAGCTACATGCACATGATGGACTGTACCTTTAACCTTACATTAAACTGTGCATTAAGTGGTCCTGTACTGTCTAATTTCCATTTTTCAAAACCAGTTTTTTTGGGTGATAAATCCTCCCCATCCTGCAGGATTTACAACCATGGCTTATTCCAGTTACAACTTTGTGAAAAAAATTAAATCACAATTCAAAAAACAACTTTGTAAAATCAAAATTAGGAGATCATTATTGAATTTGTTTCATTTTATATCTGGTTTTTAGGGAAGAGAGGCAAACGAGGGAAAAAGGGCAAAAAAGGCAACAAAGGCAAAAAAGGCAAAAAAGGTAAGCATTAATGCCACAGCAACATGTAAATTCCCAAAAGCCCTATTCGCCACAGGAACAATAGTTGCCAGAATTTCGGACGTTTTGTTGTCGTAAACTTATAATCTCATAAATGTTTTCAGTGAGCAACTATTTTTGGGTCGCAATTTGAACAGAAAATCCCAATTAAACAATACTTTTTTTTTTACAATTTCAGTACAATTAACCAAAACGTGCTGTCAAATAGTTGCAATACATTTAAGAGGAGTCGAAATTTGGAGAAAAAAAATATGTTCCTGATAAAATCCATGTCATGGTCCCTTCAACATCTAAATACCCGATTGCTAACAACAGGTTTTTTTTTTCTTTTCTTGACTCTTGTCTTTTTTTTAATCTTTTCTTCCAGGCTTGAAGTCCAGCAAGAAATCCGGTAGTTCCAAAAGTGCGTATTATGTTGAATTTGAAATATATATTATGGACAAAGTATTGGCATAACTTCCACCTTACGTAACAAATTCATATTATGCTCACTCCCTGCTGATTCAATAGATCGGTTGCATTTAGCGGACATCTTTGGGGTGTGTTTTGTTATGTTAATTCGTTAACAGTGAATAAACAAGAGGTCTACGCATGCGTACCCCTGTCGAACAAAAGCAAAACCCAAGATGGCTACCGTGCAAATAATATATAAGTTAGGATTCAGTCATTTTCTTCGGTGCATTTGGTCGCTGAGACTAATACTGCATGTTCATGTCGACTCATTGAAATCCCGTTACACAACATTATATTTTACCTTCTCAATCGAGTTTATGGTTTCTCCTCCAGAAAAGAACCGCCCGAAAAAGAACCGCCCAAAAAAGAAGAAAGGTACGTCATGTATCAGATTTTAGAAATCAAAAAAAGGTAATGCACTGGCGTTTACATGTAAGAAGCATCCTGAGTTGAAATCGAGTCAGTCACAAGTCAATTACAAGTCGATCAGAAATCAGTTACAAGTCAATTGCAAGTCAATCAAAAATCAATCACAAGTCAATCACAAGTCAATCACAAGTCAATCACAAGTCAATCACAGGTCAATCAAAAGCCAATCACAAGTCAAGCACAAGTCAAGCACAAGCCAATCACAAGTCAATCACAAGTCAATCACAAGTCCTCCAGTCCCTATAGTAAACTCACAAGCTATTCTCTTGTTTCTTCTGACCCGACTTGTTCACTGACATCCTGTGATCCTGCCATGGTTCAAACCTCAACCAATTTAACTGATTTTCTTTGTAAATTTTAGGTCAATTCTATCATTAGGCCATTTTTCAAGTTTTATAAATATTTGATTGCGTCAGAAAAGGTGTGCTGCTTGAAATCACTCATTATACATTCTTAAAGATTGTGGGTCAGTACCTAGAATGCGGGTCATGATACGACATGATACTTTTCAGGGTCAAGATTACATCTGGCTTGGTCAATTTTCTTGTCTTTTTGACCAGGAAACCATGACAAAAGTATCCTCTGTTTATCTAGAGAAGTGTCTTTTTGACCGAGAAAAGTTTCAAAATGAGGCTGAGAAGTGTCAGATCAAATTTAAGTGAGAATCCTACTTCACATCTAACCTGCCACTTTTTAGCGCGTACACGACTTTTTTTTTTACTCTGAAATCTTGTATTTGCTTTCTTCAGCAGGCATATCCAGCAGCAGCAGCAGCTCAAAGAGTGACAAAAGTGCGTACATCTGCATGTATTTAGCCGATTATAATAATGTGTTTCTTAATCAAAAGCCCACGCGCCATGCCTTATTCGAGGATCAAGGTGCTACAGCATTATTACCCTGCTCATTGGGCCAATAAAACATTCCAAGGACAATCTCAGCTCCCTGGGGAGTATGCTGATTCACCTAAATTCAGCTGCAGTAACCATCTCTGCCCTCAAATTTACTCCTGGAGCAGTGAGTGACAAAGTGCCTTGCCCAAAGACACATGCACTACAAGTCCACAACCCCAGGCTGGACTCAAATCTCAAACCTAGTATAGAATCACCCGTTGACCATGGGTTCAATGAGCAAGACCGCGAGGCAACGGCGCTGCACGGATTATGATTCACTGACTCCATGCTGATTCTAAAAGATAGTGCCTATCTCGCTGTGTCTTTTCTCTCTAACATTTATATGTCAAATCTTTAATACCTTGTGCATCAAATAATACTTGACCTTACCGACGCTAAAATGTCATCTTATGACTACTTGACTTTCTTATCAAATAATACTTAAACGTCTTAATGCTGTTTTGTTTCCACTCTCAGAAAAGAAGGGCTCGAAGAAGCCTAAAAATAAGGGTGCGTATTGTTATTTTTTATATATTTTATCACTGCAGTATTGCTGGGTTTAGGTAAATTTAAGAAACGTAGTTCACTAGAAGTTCTTGATTTGTCTCAGATGTTGTCGCATCCACTGGTCTCGGGTCCAACAATCTAAGAAACCAAAAGATGTGTGTATGATGCAAACTTTGAAATATCGCATTTTCGCCAACTCCATTCCGACTCATACTGTCAAATTGGATTGATACTTGAACTAGTTCGAATTCTTCTGATGCTTGAATAATTACCACAAATAAAATGTGTCACATAATTAAATTCTGTGCAGTAATATGTAACCTTTTTAAATCTTGCCCTTTTTTCAGGAAATAAAAAGCCAAAATCTAGAGGTGAGTATTTTCTCAGATTTAATTTTGGTATATATTATTACCGTGCAGTAATATGCAAAATTTTGAATCTTGCCTCTTTTTCAGGAAATAAAAAGCCCAAATCTAGAGGCGAGTATTTTTTCAGATTTATACATTTTTGTATATATTGTGTTAGCTCACTTTGCCTAGATTCGATACTCTGAGATTTGTTTTTTTCCCTGCTTTTTCAGGTTCGTCCAAAAGGTCCGGATTTAAGTAAACTTATGTCATTTTTAGGTTGTACTAAAATCAGCTCATAGGTTTTAAATCATGGAATCACCGTGCGGGAACTTAATTGGACGGCAGACTTTTACACCCATTATTTTCGACTGAAAATTTCATTTGACATTCAGGATCGCCTGCAGGTTCTGAAGTGCCAGAATCCGAAGTGCCGGTCCAAAGACCCAAACGTAAGTACCGTTGTCAACAACGTCATACAGGATTCAGACTTGGGGATAAAAAATAGATCTGACTCAACATTAAAACGACGGGCAATTCCTCCACCCTGTTTACACATATCTTTATAAATATCCTTACACGACTTCTAGAAATGACTAAGGAACAGTGACGTGCCAATAATTGGACGTCCGAGCGTTTGTACCCATATCAGGACTTTCCTTTACTATAATCCCGGAAAACTTGAGGGGGAAAACTTCTCCTCAATTTGCTGATGATTTTCATGAAAAGCGGTATCTGGACAATGTTCCCTGAACAATCTTGCTAAGTCAAGCAGTGTATGACGACGTTTTCCCGTAAGATTCCCTCGATTAATGCATAGTTTCAGCCAAATAAAATGAAGATTACGTTGGAAATTTTCTGAGAACGTATATGCACATTTCTCCCAAACACTAGCTAGCTTTTACACTTTGTCGTTTCCAGAAAAAAAACCTGTGCGAAACAGGAATGCATAGGTTTGGTTGGTTGCACCAAACAACTTGGTTGTTATAAGTTCACTAACGTTAATTTTACCTGCTGATATTTCCATGCAAACTTGTTTTCACAGGATGCCCAGAGGTACAATGTGCTGAGGCCTGCGAAGAGGGCTTTGAAATGGACGTAGAGGGCTGCCAGACTTGTGACTGCATAGGTAGGGATGGCTGACGTTTCCTCTGTAGAATTCTTTAAAACAAAATTGTTAAAATAAACTCCTTGATCAAAAGTGGTCTCTCAGAAGCGGCCGAGTAGTGGGTTAGTCCTGCGATAATATTTTTAGGCTAGTGTCGTTCTCTGTTTAAAAGTTCTACTTGCTCTCTAATAAAAAAACAGTCCGTTGTCAATCTCCTCTGAGTTACAAGATAACACTACTTTCAACTTTTCTAGGGCTGGTCAGGTCCTGACTGGGTCCCTTTCATCATTATTAATTTTTGACGAAAATATCGACTCGGTCCACATCAAATTAACTAATGTATTTTCCCCAACACCACCCCTCCCCCACCTCCTCCACGTCACCCCTTCTCGTGAACTGGACACGGGTTGATATTGTAGCCAGCTCGGGAAGAGTAAACAATCTTATCAAGTGGACTATTTCGAGCTCTGTCTGCTGTAGGACTAATCCCCACATGACCAAGTGAAAAACTGTCAATTCTATGTTTGACTGAAAATATCTGACCCATGCCTGAAGTCATCCAAACCATGAACTCTCTAAGCTTCCTACAAAATTAGATCCGAGGTTGGCCACTGGATTCATTACGTCATCGTTGCGTCTTCCTTTCCCCTCGTCTACTTCAGAGATCCAACAAGGTGGCGAAGGAGGACAACCGGAAGACGAGTTTGGCACCGTTCTGCAGACCACCGGCGGCTCCAAGGAGATTGTCATCAGCACGGAGGTGGACACAACCCAGGAGCAAGAGTTCACCATCGACCGCAACGACCCGGTGGAGTTCTTGCTGACATCGTCGGAGGGAGAACTGGGAATTGGTAAGATTTATAGGGGAAAAAAGAGCTACAGCTCCTGTGATAAAACAAAACTTGGGATATATCCATTACCAACAAATCTTGTGAGACACTGATGGATCCTTGAAGGATTTTCGTCATCGCCTGCAGGTGCCTATGGGTTCCTATAGGATACATGTTGACATACATGCTTTACTTATAAGACCTGTCCAAAGCCCTATTTGGAAATGTTACGACTTCATAGACCAATCTGGGCACGCTATCATTTCTATCACGGAGACCCCTTCCATGACGAAAGCTTCGGGCTATAACTGGGGGAGTTGCTTCGTACAATAGCTTGCACCGTGGTTTCTCCATTCAAGGGGGCCTCGTCAGTGAACAGTGATCACGTGACTGGATTCGTCTGTAGGAAACGTAGATCATGTAGGGTCCTTTCTATAGGATAGAGTCAATGGGGTATGAACTTGCTTGGCAACATCCGAATAATATCAATAACGTATTCAAACAAATTTGATTTTAAGTAAAACGTTATTCTAGTGGTGAAATATGTTTCAAAGACCCTTCGCTGATGTATGCGAAGAAGTTTTAAGCGTCTGCAATTTGAGCAGGAACCTACATTTCTACTTCAATCGGAAGGAATTTGTTAAATCTCCTTTTTAGGAGATTTAAAAAAATAGTCTGGACAATCAAGGCCTTTAGTCTTCCAGTGATTGTCAGATTGTTCATATACGCTCCAATTGCCAATTTGTAGATAAAATGTTGTGTTTTTCATTTCATAGTCGTGATAAAGAGCTCTGTTGAAATTGTGAGTTCCAGCGGTAAGACGCTGAAGTCCGTGAAACTGCCATCTTGGTGTCTAGTGCAACAAGAGCTCACGTTCTCCGTCAGTTTCTTCACAACCGGCTTCAAGCTGCTCATCATCACTACTTCTGGAGAGGAGAGAGTCCTGACGAAGTATGTCAAGTCCAACAAGAAAAAGTTCAGCTGCCGTGCGCTCAAGATGCGATCGAAGGGTACCAAGAAGTGCAAGGTGAAATACAGGCACAAGCGAAGAAGAGGTAAGAAACTCACGTTTTTGTTTTGCCGGCTTGGGTCATATTTCATTATTCGCATGTCCTAATTGTACAATTGTGAAATGTTACCAAAGAATTAAAAAATAAACCGGACAATTGGAAATGTTCTTATTTACCTAGGACGGAGAGGCAAGGGAGGGAATAAAGGCAAAAAAGGTAAGCATTTTGTATTAGACGAATGTGTTTAGATTTAATCGCTGAAATGCTGCATTTAGATATATTCTGAAATGCTGCATTTAGATACATTCTGTATTGCTGCATTTAGATATATTAGGTAATTTCTCGTTTTGAAAATTTAACAATTGTGAGATTCATACGTAACTAATTCCGCAGTTAGGCCCAAGTGAGATTGATGATTTTTAGATCTACTGGGGATAGGAAACTAATTTCATGTTTAATTCTCTGAATCATATATAATTTTCTTCTGCAGGAAACAGAAGCGTGAAGAAGAAGTCCAAGGGTAAAGGTCAGTAATTTCTTTTCATTGAAACTTGACCAATGGTGAGATTCATACATAATTAATGTCACATTTAGGCCAATGTAAGATTCATAATTTTGGGACTTCTTGGTAGATGAAAATAATTTCATATCTAAACGTTTTAATCCTGCGTTATTTTCTTCTACAGAAAACAAAAGCCCCAAATCGCCCAACACTAAAGTGCGTGATACGCCTTCACTGAATCTCTACAAAATAGCGAAATTGATAGAATACGCCAAGAACAAAATGTTTCTCTTCAACCATTCCGCATTAAGGTTAAGGACTTTGGGTCTACATGAAAATCTTGATTTGATGGTTTTAATTTGCCAGCCAGGTTTTGATCCAAAATGTGGTCAAAGAGATTAAGACGTTGTTATTTCAGTCATTTAAAATGAAACTGATGTTTAAAGAGTTTGTCAAACGTTGCTGACATCAAAAAGGCTTACATTCAAATTGTCTAATACCTTTATTCTTGTCCACCAGGCGGGAAGACCAAGAGCGGATCCAAGAGCCGATCCAAGAGTGCTAAAGGTAGAAAATTAACCAATTGCGAGATTCAAACGTAAATAATTCCGCATTGAAGCCCAGGTACGCTTGTTGATTTGGGATCTACTTGGGCGATGACTCTTATTTAATGTGTAACACTCTAAATCCCGTCTTGTTTCTTCTGCAGAAAACAAAGGCCCGAAGAAGTCCAAAACAAAGGGTACGTTATTTTTACCAATTGCGAGATTCATACGTAAATCATTTTGCATTGAGGTCCATTTTAAGATCTTCGATTTCATGTTTAACTTTCTGAATCCTGTTTAATTTTCTTCTGCAGGAAACAGAAGCTTGAAGAAGTCCAAAGGAAAAGGTTAGTAATTTCTCTTCATTGAAAATTCACCAATGGCAAGATTCGTACATATTAATGTCACATTTAGGCCAGGGTAATTAGATTCATTATTTAGCGACTGCTTGGTAGATTAAAATGACTTCATGTTTAAACATGTTTATGAGATTCATTATTTAGCGACTGCTTGGTAGATTAAAATGACTTCATGTTTAAACATGTTTATCCTGTATTATTTTCTTTTACAGAAAACAAAAGCCCAAAATCACCCAACACTTCAGTTAGTTAATATTCTCCTTCACTGAATCTCTACTAAATGGCCAAATTTATAGAATACACCTAGAACAAAATGTTTCTCTCCAACAATTCAGCATTACGGCCTCGTTAAGGTTGAAGACTTTGGGTCTATATGAAAATCTTGATTTGATGGTTTTAATTCGCCAGGTTTTGATCCAATTTAAAGCGTGGTAAATGAGATTAAGACGTTGTTATTTCAGTCATTTAAGAATACAAATGATGTTTGAAGAGTTTGTCAAACGTTACTGACATCAAATAGGCCTACATTCTAATTGTCTAATACCTTTATTCTTGTCCTCCAGGCGGGAAGACCAGAAGCCGATCAAAGAGCCGATCCGAGAGTGCTAAAGGTAGAAAATTAACCAATTGCGAGATTCAAACGTAAATAATTCCGCATTGAAGCCCAGGTACGATTGTTGATTTGGGATCTACTTGGGCGATGAATCTTATTTAATGTGTAACACTCTAAATCCCGTCTTGTTTCTTCTGCAGAAAACAAAGGCCCGAAGAAGTCCAAAACAAAGGGTGCGTTATTTTTACCAATTGCGAGATTCATACGTAAATCATTTTGCATTGAGGTCCATTTTAAGATCTTCGATTTCATGTTTAACTTTCTGAATCCTGTTTAATTTTCTTCTGCAGGAAACAGAAGCTTGAAGAAGTCCAAAGGAAAAGGTTAGTAATTTCTCTTCATTGAAAATTGACAAATGGCAAGATTCGTACATATTAATGTCACATTTAGGCCAAGGTAATTAGATTCATTATTTAGCGACTGCTTGGTAGATGAAAATGACTTCATGTTTAAACATGTTTATCCTGTATTATTTTCTTTTACAGAAAACAAAAGCCCCAAATCACCCAACACTTAAGTTAGTTAATATTCCTCTTCACTGAATCTCTACTAAATGGCCAAATTTATAGAATACACCTAGAACAAAATGTTTCTCTCCAACAATTCAGCATTACGGCCTCGTTAAGGTTGAAGACTTTGGGTCTATATGAAAATCTTGATTTGATGGTATTAATTCGCCAGGTTTTGATCCAATTTAAAGCGTGGTAAATGAGATTAAAACGTTGTTATTTCAGTCATTTAAGAATACAAATGATGTTTGAAGAGTTTGTCAAACGTTACTGACATCAAATAGGCCTACATTCTAATTGTCTAATACCTTTATTCTTGTCCTCCAGGCGGGAAGACCAGAAGCCGATCAAAGAGCCGATCCGAGAGTGCTAAAGGTAGAAAATTAACCAATTGCGAGATTCAAACGTAAATAATTCCGCATTGAAGCCCAGGTACGATTGTTGATTTGGGATCTACTTGGGCGATGACTCTTATTTAATGTGTAACACTCTAAATCCCGTCTTGTTTCTTCTGCAGAAAACAAAGGCCCGAAGAAGTCCAAAACAAAGGGTGCGTTATTTTTACCAATTGCGAGATTCATACGTAAATCATTTTGCATTGAGGTCCATTTTAAGATCTTCGATTTCATGTTTAACTTTCTGAATCCTGTTTAATTTTCTTCTGCAGGAAACAGAAGCTTGAAGAAGCATAAAGGAAAAGGTTAGTAATTTCTCTTCATTGAAAATTGACAAATGGCAAGATTCGTACATATTAATGTCACATTTAGGCCAAGGTAATTAGATTCATTATTTAGCGACTGCTTGGTAGATGAAAATGACTTCATGTTTAAACATGTTTATGAGATTCATTATTTAGCGACTGCTTGGTAGATTAAAATGACTTCATGTTTAAACATGTTTATCCTGTATTATTTTCTTTTACAGAAAACAAAAGCCCAAAATCACCCAACACTTCAGTTAGTTAATATTCTCCTTCACTGAATCTCTACTAAATGGCCAAATTTATAGAATACACCTAGAACAAAATGTTTCTCTCCAACAATTCAGCATTACGGCCTCGTTAAGGTTGAAGACTTTGGGTCTATATGAAAATCTTGATTTGATGGTTTTAATTCGCCAGGTTTTGATCCAATTTAAAGCGTGGTAAATGAGATTAAGACGTTGTTATTTCAGTCATTTAAGAATACAAATGATGTTTGAAGAGTTTGTCAAACGTTACTGACATCAAATAGGCCTACATTCTAATTGTCTAATACCTTTATTCTTGTCCTCCAGGCGGGAAGACCAGAAGCCGATCAAAGAGCCGATCCGAGAGTGCTAAAGGTAGAAAATTAACCAATTGCGAGATTCAAACGTAAATAATTCCGCATTGAAGCCCAGGTACGATTGTTGATTTGGGATCTACTTGGGCGATGAATCTTATTTAATGTGTAACACTCTAAATCCCGTCTTGTTTCTTCTGCAGAAAACAAAGGCCCGAAGAAGTCCAAAACAAAGGGTGCGTTATTTTTACCAATTGCGAGATTCATACGTAAATCATTTTGCATTGAGGTCCATTTTAAGATCTTCGATTTCATGTTTAACTTTCTGAATCCTGTTTAATTTTCTTCTGCAGGAAACAGAAGCTTGAAGAAGTCCAAAGGAAAAGGTTAGTAATTTCTCTTCATTGAAAATTGACAAATGGCAAGATTCGTACATATTAATGTCACATTTAGGCCAAGGTAATTAGATTCATTATTTAGCGACTGCTTGGTAGATGAAAATGACTTCATGTTTAAACATGTTTATCCTGTATTATTTTCTTTTACAGAAAACAAAAGCCCCAAATCACCCAACACTTAAGTTAGTTAATATTCCTCTTCACTGAATCTCTACTAAATGGCCAAATTTATAGAATACACCTAGAACAAAATGTTTCTCTCCAACAATTCAGCATTACGGCCTCGTTAAGGTTGAAGACTTTGGGTCTATATGAAAATCTTGATTTGATGGTATTAATTCGCCAGGTTTTGATCCAATTTAAAGCGTGGTAAATGAGATTAAAACGTTGTTATTTCAGTCATTTAAGAATACAAATGATGTTTGAAGAGTTTGTCAAACGTTACTGACATCAAATAGGCCTACATTCTAATTGTCTAATACCTTTATTCTTGTCCTCCAGGCGGGAAGACCAGAAGCCGATCAAAGAGCCGATCCGAGAGTGCTAAAGGTAGAAAATTAACCAATTGCGAGATTCAAACGTAAATAATTCCGCATTGAAGCCCAGGTACGATTGTTGATTTGGGATCTACTTGGGCGATGACTCTTATTTAATGTGTAACACTCTAAATCCCGTCTTGTTTCTTCTGCAGAAAACAAAGGCCCGAAGAAGTCCAAAACAAAGGGTGCGTTATTTTTACCAATTGCGAGATTCATACGTAAATCATTTTGCATTGAGGTCCATTTTAAGATCTTCGATTTCATGTTTAACTTTCTGAATCCTGTTTAATTTTCTTCTGCAGGAAACAGAAGCTTGAAGAAGCATAAAGGAAAAGGTTAGTAATTTCTCTTCATTGAAAATTGACAAATGGCAAGATTCGTACATATTAATGTCACATTTAGGCCAAGGTAATTAGATTCATTATTTAGCGACTGCTTGGTAGATGAAAATGACTTCATGTTTAAACATGTTTATCCTGTATTATTTTCTTTTACAGAAAACAAAAGCCCCAAATCACCCAACACTTCAGTTAGTTAATATTCTCCTTCACTGAATCTCTACTAAATGGCCAAATTTATAGAATACACCTAGAACAAAATGTTTCTCTCCAACAATTCAGCATTACGGCCTCGTTAAGGTTGAAGACTTTGGGTCTATATGAAAATCTTGATTTGATGGTTTTAATTCGCCAGGTTTTGATCCAATTTAAAGCGTGGTAAATGAGATTAAGACGTTGTTATTTCAGTCATTTAAGAATACAAATGATGTTTGAAGAGTTTGTCAAACGTTACTGACATCAAATAGGCCTACATTCTAATTGTCTAATACCTTTATTCTTGTCCTCCAGGCGGGAAGACCAGAAGCCGATCAAAGAGCCGATCCCAGAGTACTAAAGGTAGAAAATTAACCAATTGCGAGATTCAAACGTAAATAATTCCGCATTGAAGCCCAGGTACGATTGTTGATTTGGGATCTACTTGGGCGATGAATCTTATTTAATGTGTAACACTCTAAATCCCGTCTTGTTTCTTCTGCAGAAAACAAAGGCCCGAAGAAGTCCAAAACAAAGGGTGCGTTATTTTTACCAATTGCGAGATTCATACGTAAATCATTTTGCATTGAGGTCCATTTTAAGATCTTCGATTTCATGTTTAACTTTCTGAATCCTGTTTAATTTTCTTCTGCAGGAAACAGAAGCTTGAAGAAGTCCAAAGGAAAAGGTTAGTAATTTCTCTTCATTGAAAATTGACAAATGGCAAGATTCGTACATATTAATGTCACATTTAGGCCAAGGTAATTAGATTCATTATTTAGCGACTGCTTGGTAGATGAAAATGACTTCATGTTTAAACATGTTTATCCTGTATTATTTTCTTTTACAGAAAACAAAAGCCCCAAATCACCCAACACTTAAGTTAGTTAATATTCCTCTTCACTGAATCTCTACTAAATGGCCAAATTTATAGAATACACCTAGAACAAAATGTTTCTCTCCAACAATTCAGCATTACGGCCTCGTTAAGGTTGAAGACTTTGGGTCTATATGAAAATCTTGATTTGATGGTATTAATTCGCCAGGTTTTGATCCAATTTAAAGCGTGGTAAATGAGATTAAAACGTTGTTATTTCAGTCATTTAAGAATACAAATGATGTTTGAAGAGTTTGTCAAACGTTACTGACATCAAATAGGCCTACATTCTAATTGTCTAATACCTTTATTCTTGTCCTCCAGGCGGGAAGACCAGAAGCCGATCAAAGAGCCGATCCGAGAGTGCTAAAGGTAGAAAATTAACCAATTGCGAAATTCATACGTAAATAATTCCGCATTGTTAAGCTCTGAATCCTGCCTTGTTTTTTCCTCCAGGAAATAAAGGTCAGAAAAAGGCCGAAACTAAGGGTATATACGTAATTCCCTTTTTGAAAATTTACCAATTGTAAGATTCATACGTAAATAATAACGCATTGGGGTCCAGGTAAATCTGTGATTTTGAGTCTACTTGGTGGGAGCTACTAATTTCATGCTTAACTCTCCAAATCCTGTATTATTTTCTTCTGCAGGAAACAGAAGCCCGAAAAAGTCAAAAACTAAAGCTGCGTAATTCCTAACGTAACTAATTACTTGTTTAGCTCCAGTGAGATCTGTGATTTTGAGTCTACTTGGTGGAAGCAACTAATTTCATGCTTAACTTTCTGAATCCTGTTTATCTTTCTTCTGCAGGAAACAGAAGCCCGAAGAAGTCCAAGGGTAAAGGTCAGTAATTTCTCTTCATTGAAAATTGACCAATGGTGAGATTCGTACATAATTAATGTCTCATTTAGGCCAAAGTAAGATTCATGATTTTGGGATTTCTTGGTAGATGACCATAATTTCATGTTTAAACGTTTTTATCGTCTATAACTTTCTTCTACAGAAGAAAAAAGCCCCAAATCGCCCAACACAAAAGTGCGTGATTCTCCTTCACTGAATCTCTACTAAATGGCGAAATTTATAGAATACGCCAACAACAAAATGTTTCTCTTCGCCAATTCAGCATTAAGGCCTCGATAAAGTTGGAGACTTTGGGTTTTTATGGAAATCTTGATTTGATTGTTTTAATTCGCCAAGTTTTGATCCAAAGCGTAGTCAGAGAAATGAAGACGTCGTTGTTGCAGTCATTTAAGAATAAAAGTGATGTTAAGCGAGTTTGCCAAACGTTGCTGACATAAAATAGGCTTAGGCCTACTTTTAAATTATTCAATACCTTTATTCTTGTCCTCCAGGCCGGAAGACCAAAAGCCGATCCAAGAGTGATGAAGGTACGTGCCATATATTAGTCAAAATATGGCGGAATGTTTTTGGTTCAATCAGTGACTCTTCCCTATTTTTGAAATGATTAGTTTTGGGTGAACTCGTTAAGGATAGATACAGTAATAAATTGTCATTTATCGATTGATAGCTGCAATTATGCATGTGTTCAGCTCTGAATCCTGTCTTGTTTTTTTCTTCCATGAAATAAAGGTCAGAAAAAGGCCAAAACTAAGGGTATATACGTAATTCCCTTTTTGAAAATTTACCAATTGTAAGATTCATACGTAAATAATTACGCATTGGGGTCCAGGTAAAATTTGTGAATTTGAGTCTACTTGTTCGGATCAACTAATTTCATGCTTAACTCTCCAAATACTGTATTATTTTCCTCAGCAGGAAACAAAAGCGTGAAGAAGTCAAAAACTAAAATTGCGTTATTTCTATCGTGGTACTAATTACTTATTAAGGTCCAGGTGAGATCTGTGATTTTGAGTCTTTTGGGTAGACGCAACAAAATTCATGTTGAGCTCTCTGAATCCTGTATTATTTTCTTCTGCAGGAAACAGAAGCCCGAAGAAGTCAAAAACTAAAGGTGCGTAATTCCTAACGTAACTAATTACTAGTTTAGCTCCAGGTGAGATCTGTGATTTTGAGTCTACTTGGTAAATGTAACTGATTACATGTCTAGCTCTCTGAATCCTGTGTTATTCTCTTCTGCAGGAAACAAAAGCCCGAAGAAGTCCAAAACTAAAGGTGCGTAATTGCTTACATAACTAATTACCTATTTAGGTCCAGGTGAGATGTGTGATTTTGGGTCTACTTGGTAAATGCAACTTATTTCATGTTTAACTCTCTAAATCCTGTATTATTTTCTTCTGCAGGAAACAAAAGTCCGAAGAAGCCCAAAACTAAAGGTGTGTAATTGCTTACATAACTAATTACCTATTTAGGTCAAGGTGAGATGTGTGATTTTGGGTCTACTTGGAAAATGGAACATATTTCATGTTTAACTCTCTAAATCCTGTATTATTTTCTTCTGCAGGAAACAAAAGCCCGAAGAAGTCCAAAACTAAAGGTGCGTAATTTCTAACGTAACTAATTACTTATTGAGGTCCAGGTGAGAACTGTGATTTTGGGTCTACGTGGTTGATGCAATAAACTTCATATTTAACTCTATGAATCCTGGATTTTTTTCTCCTGCAGGAAACAAAAGCCCGAAGAAGTCAAAAACTAAAGGTAAGTAATTTCTTTTTACTGAAAATTTACCAATGACGGGAATCGTTCAAATTAAATACGCATTTAGGCCAAGGTAAAATTGATGAATTTGGGAATACTTCGTAGATGAAAATAATTTCACGTTTAAACCTCTGCATTCTGTATTATTTTCTTCTGCGGGAAACAAAAGCCCCAAATCGCCCAAAACTAAAGGTAGGTGAATTTTCTACACTGAAAATGTGCCAAATTGCGACATTTATATTATTCTGAAAAACAAATGTTTCTCTTCAACAGTGCCTTATTTAGGAGTGGATAAGGTTGAGGACTTTGGGTCTACATGAAAATCTTGATTTGGTTGTTTTAATTCACCAGATCAAAAGCGTGGGTCAAGGAGATTAAAACGTACTTACTGCAATTATTTAAGAATAAAAATTGATAATTTCATTGAGCTGGAAAGAACGTTGCAAGCAAAAAACCACGACGGGACATGATTTTTGTTTAATGATTCACTTGTCAAATCATCAAATTGAGGTACATCAAATAAAACTTCAACTACTGATTTTATTTCTTCCCAAAAGAAGGAGCTGTTAAGTGGCGATTAACCAGAAATGATGTAAATAAGGAAATTATTGGTTATGGATCATGCGACATTTGTATAAGTTGCCTGATTGTCAAATTATCCATTGACTGTACATCAAATAATATTTCAACTGCTGATTTCCTTTCCCAGGAAAGAAAGGTGGCAACAAAAACAAAGGAGGTAAGTAGCGAATAAAATTGCCGCTTTAAAAAAAAAGATCATATAGGTGAATAGCGCAAAAGGGATGGGCCTATCAAATGTTTGACTTACAGCATAGGCGTATCCAGCGGGGATAGGCGGGGGAGGGGGAATTACCCCCAGGAATTTTTGCGTGTAAAGACTGCCCTTTTCCATTGAATTGCCCTTTTTCGCCAGAGCTTAACTCCCTTCCCCAAAATTTGGAAAGAGTGCCCTTCTTTTGTGAACATGTGCCTTTCTTTAACTGAACAAGTGCCCGTTTGGTCCAATTGGCCGTTCTTTAAATTTGCGCGCATGTATCGCCCTGAAATCATTGTCTGTTAGTGTGCGTAATCGTCGGTTTTGACCAGCGCCCCTATGGACAGATGATACCAGCCCTGTGCAATTGCCCTTTTCAAGAAATGTTTAACCACCCCCCCCTCCCCATTTAAAAATGAATTTGTACGGTTGTCAACTCAGTTCATATTTGATTCGGTGCACCAGTTCCAGGATGAAAATAGAATTGGGTGAAGCGAGAAATTTTCACTGGAAGTTTCCACTTTAGATGTTTATTTTCGTGTTTTGTCTCATCCTCTAGCAATGAAGATACAGAAATGTGCATATCGAACGTTTCTCAAATACCATATTTAAATGCACAGTAATTTGGTGTTTACCAATAATTCGAAGGCCAATTTAGGCCAGAGTTAAATATTTTAGCTATTGACTCGATATCTAATACAACACAAGATAGTGTGCAATGTAATATTCGGATCACGAAATATATTTTATTTTGTTCTCATGCAGGAAAGAAAGGAAAGAAGAAGCCAAAATCTGGAGGTACGTATAGTGCATGATCATATTAAACAAAATGTGTTTATCAAAACGATTTTTTTCTGCACGGTTACATTCAGAAGCAATGCATCTAAACAGACTATCAGCGGGGTCTTTTCACTGATTCTCATAAAACAACGATGAAGACTTTCTCAAATCGCAGAAACACGATGTTTCATGAAATCGCTTTTTTTTTTTTTTTTTCTTCAGGTGAAGGACCAAGTGAAGGAAGTGAGACAACGATTGGTAAGCGTTTTCTGGACATCCCCGTGGATTTCAGTCCAAACAAAGCAATATCTGTATCGATTTACTAGCATGTACACAGATTTATCTTTCCTAATTATATTTGGGGTCAATAGGTCAAGGTTGAAGTCAAAATCATCAGTGTAGAACACAATTCGTGAAATGTTGGTATTATTTGTGTGTTCCAAGCTATATTTTCGCATGATACCCATTTGATATGTTCTCGGTAAGGGATCATAATGGCAAAAGAAGAATAAGAAAAGCTTGCATTATAAAACAACCCTACTGCCACCATTTCAGTCATGTTCCCTGTATCTAATAAAAGTATTAAATGATAAAGTTTTTGTGCAAATATGAACCAGACTACTTTTCCTCCCAGCCTCTCTTTGGTACGTTGATTTGATTTGAGTGGGGAAAGATCACGGTGGCCGCCACATGATAACGGTGTATACCACTGCTATACACTCTTCTCTGTTATGTCACGCTGCGTATTCCAGACGCGCGCGTTATACGCAAATCGGACTTAATGTCGGTAAGGCCAAATAAAAAAAAGTCTCCGGTTTCTGGTTTGGAGCTTGCCCAAAAAGTGGTGCGGCAACGCGGCTTTTTTTTTTTTTTTACCTGATTTTTTTGCTTCAAATGTCGGCTGATGACTGCAAATATAGCCCGACTAAACTTAGTGCAAATATATGGGAGTCCAGAGAGGCCACATAAAGCTTATTCTCGACCATAACCCAATCTAAAAACACGTTTAAATTGTGCAGCAGCAGGATTCCAGTCAAACTAGTGAGTTTGGCAATTTTGAGACATCATCTTTCATTGAAAAAAAAACTTTTTCATTTTGCCGACGCGCATGGCTACGGCGACGCGCGCGCATACCAGAAACCGGAGACTTTTTTTTGGCCTAATAAAGCAAGGCATGGGGCGGGGCTTAATGCATCGGTCTATTGTGTTTCACTATCCCAGCGACAAAGAAAGAAGTGGAGAGCAAGAGGATCGTCATTAAGCCGAACCAGTACGAGGAGATTGAGGGTATCGCTGGCTACGAGACCAGCTTGAGTTTCTCCTTGAACCCAGATGACGGCATCACATTCCGCTTAGCCGAGAAGAGGGGTGGCAAGGGGAAAACGCTGCTGTTTGGTGAGTATTGGGCAAATTATTACTTTGCAAAAACAAGAACATTTTCATTTCAAAAACTAAGGATGTAAAGAATTTCGTATCAATATTGAAATATAGTGTGTATATGCAACAAGTCATAACGAATTCCATAATGTCCCAATCAAAAAGTAAGTTCCAAAATTTATCTAATTTTACTGATGTCAGATGAACCCCACCGCACAAGATTATGGAAAGTCTGACGTGCTGTGAAAAAAGTTTGGTATATATAATAATGAAAACCTTTGCATTTTTTTAAAGTATACTTCGTGAAAATCAAGTACTCTCTCACGGTAAAGACGCTTTACATCCCAGTGCTGTAGTCGAGTCGATTACAACTGCATCACAAGTCCCCGCAACTCCTCACAAGTCCTCACAAGTCAATCAAAGTCCTCGCAACTCCTCAAAAGTCCTCACAAGTCAATTACAAAAAGTCCCCACAACTCCTCACAAGTCCTCACAAGTCAATCACAAGACCTTAAACTCCTCACAAGTCCCCACAAGTCAATTACAAGTCCTCACAACTCCTCAAGTCCTCACAAGTCAATAACAAGTCCTCACAACTCTGCACAAGTCCTCACAACTCTGCACAAGTCCTCACCTCAATCACAAGTCCTCACAACTCTTCACAAGTCCTCACAAGTCAATCACAAGTCCTCACAACTCCTCACCAGTCCACACACGTCTTCCAGTCTGAAATGCAAGTCCGTTTGGGACTGAACATCAGTGAAAGAACTTGTGATTTACTTTTGACGGGACTTGTGATGGACTTCACACAACACTACATCAGTGGATTCTCAATATCGTTTCCCCCTCCCAACATTACAGTCATACAGAAGGAATGGAGCTACATGCAGTTTGATGGAGGTGACCTGGGCGGCAAAACTGCAACCCGGAGTGGCATCCTGAACAGCGGCAAAAAGTCGTTCTGGATCAAACTGCCTGGCTCTGAAAGCAGCGAGTTCTGGTTCGAACTCGGCTTCAAGGGTCAAAGCAGCGCGTACCTGAGACAGAAGATATCTGACAGTAGTTTCCGGCCGAGATACGTCGATGTGTCCGTCACCGTGACAAAGGTCGAGGAACAAGTGGTGGAGATAGAATGTAAATCATAGCTGTGCTTCCTTAAACCTGATTCACAACAATGCAAAATATACCTTATTTAATTCCACTGATTAAACATCCAAATATCATTGAATTATTTAACAACATTAAATTTGATTGGAATACCCCAAACAAAAATCCACAGAAAATGAAAAAAGATTTAATTTGATGTGTGTCTGAAACACCTTGGAGAGTTGTAAGTATTTGTCCTGATCTTGAGAAGTAGGGTTTTTTTTTTATCACGGAGGTCTATGGCAGTTTATATGCCGTTCTGCGACCTAATAACTCTGTCTTGCGGTTTTTTTATAATTAGATCCAAATTGGATCGACATCGGGACCGCGACGGATCAGCAATACCGGTTTCAGGTGGATTCGGCGGAGGTTGCTCTGATAGCTGTACAGGCTGGCAATATCAAGGAGTATGGACAGATCGTTGCAGGTGTGAAATTTAGCCCTAGTTTTCTTTTGGTAGGCCGGGTGGTGGAATTTTTTTTTTAGAATAACATCTCGTTGTAATATATGAAATATCCTTTTGCTTCATTGAATTTGAAAAATGCACGTTTGGTTCAAACTCGATTCCGGATGTTTAAAACAAAAATCGGTCTTTGAACTTGATGAATTCATATAAAGGCAAAATTCGGTAAAGCATAACACCATTTACAACATTTTTTTTTAATTGTTCATCTGTTTCCTGTACCTTCCCGATGAGATGCGAAGACGAAACTAGAACAAGTTACACCAGAGGGATTTAGCAAAGAGTTTGAAACTCTCTCACAATCTAGGACTCGATCTATGTACTCGGACTCTAAGCATCTCAAAGTGTTCGCAAAGGTTGGATTCAGACTCTGGTTCTACATCTAGGCAATCAACTAAGACAAACAACCCAACGGTTCTTTTCAGAACCACACATTTTCCCAAATGAGATTTCTACATGGTGTTACCGCAAACCTTATAGTTCATACCACCACCATCATAGCTGGGCCATGGAAACCTGCTTCCGACGATCTAATTGTACACTCTCTCTGTTGCGAGAACAGTTTCAACAATCTAATCATCATTGTGATATTTTTTGACCCAGAGTTCGGCAATCAAAAGAACCGTGGCTGTAGGATCCAGACATGCACGGACAAGAAAGCCACCGAATGCAGGACCGTCATGGAACCGGCCGACAAGTCCGTCTGCAACAGCCTTGGCAACAAACGCACTATTTGGGCGCAGCTCGTAAATGGTGAATTCCGCATGGGCCTGGTGGGCGACAACAAGCCAATTGCCAGCTACAGCGGGGCGAGCTGGTTGGGCGACGCGGGCGTGTCTAAGAAATTGGCCATCGGTACGCGAGGAGACGGCAAATGGCAGATGGCCGGTATGTATCAAAATCCCCGTGTTTTGTTTAGGCCTAACTAATTTCAAACTCGGGAAGTGACGAACGAAATAAAACCCTGTAGACTTAGCCGGGTACCTGAATATTATTATTAGGAGCCATATGCGTGCAAATGAGCTGGCAACACGCGCGCGCACTGGTGGTACGCGCGCACAGGTGGTACGCGCGCACTTAATGCTCCCTAAACCAATAGACCGCTTGCAGACGCGTTCGATAATCGACGCGCGAAGGCGCGCGACGCCATGTTGTGGGACAGGCGTATATCTATCCACGCACATTTTGTCCCATAACATGGCGTCGCTCACCTTAGCGCGTCAATTATCGAACGCGTCTGCAAGCGGTCTATAGTGTTTCCAATAAGTGCGCGCCCCGAGGTTTAGAATGCGTGCGGTATGCGCGTGCACGTGGTTACATTGCAGTAGTCAGTTTAGGCCAATGTGTTTGACGGAATATGTGACACCCGTGTAGATGATTTCATCGTACATCCCAAGCTCCACACATTGTTTTCTATTACGCGTGCTCTATTTATTTTGTCCATGTCAAAGGTAAAATAAACGTCGTTTATTCAGAAAAACAAATGAAATAGCAGATTTAAACACCTAAAGGATCAAGATAACTGACACAATAAACAATTCAATACAAATTTCCTTTGTCTTGCTGTCAACAGGTTAAGCAGAGAAGTTGAAAGTGAGAAGAGCAGATTTCAGTGGCTACAAGGGTGAGTGTAGGCCTCCGTAAATACACACAAATGTTTTTGTTATCTACATGACAATTAAAGAACGATTTGCGTCTGACCCCGGTGAATTAAAGCATGGGTCTTCATGTCACTCGCCATACTGTTGTGACTAACATCGATAGGGTCAAAGTTTGATATAACTTTTTCGATTACCTTGTCGTTGTACATAACAACACGACAAATTCAATTTCATTTGTGATTTGTTTTGGGCATTGTCTAGATTTTGCGTTCGCGGGATCTTCGACGAACCAATGGCAACGACAAACGGAACAACATTGGACAAGTAATTGTTTCACCTTTTCTTTGAGTGTTTATCATGTATTCAAAACTGAAAAAAAATCAGTAGCCAGTAGTTAAAATAAAATTAAGAAGATAGCATCAACAGTTTTAAGATATAGGAGAGCCTTTGGTTAGTGGGCACCGTTATTGAGTATTTATAAAGTGTTTTAAGAAAGGGGAAAATTACTATAATTACAATTGTAAGGTTATTTGACATAGCTATACCAGTAATTCATAACAATAGCATTAAATACAATTCTATGGATTTTTGCAGCAGTATATTTCTTTTTGTTCATTGTAAATTAACTTCAAAGACCCGACAAAAAATTAAGTCGAAAAAGTACTTTTATCGAAAGGAATTGTTCATTCCCGTAAAGAAAACGTACACTGTATTTGGTTTCAATTGTCATTTGATTTTATTTTCCATTTTATTGCCATCTCCTAGTATTTTTATCCGCGAGAGTTTCAATATGACCTATTGAAAATAAAAAATAAAAACAGTTGTTGAACAAAAATGTTATAACATTGTTCACACGTGCGTAAAGACCGAACTCTGACTATTCCACTGCTAAGGAGCGTCATGTTTAATAGTAAATTTGTGTAAAAAGAATTAGCCGATCCAATGAATTAACTTTTTATCCAACCATCACTGATTTTTAGGCCAGCAAGTTTATCTTAATTTCACGATAAACCTTGGGAAAAAACACTTTGTTCATTAATCAGAATTACCATTTTAATGTTAGTAGACATCCAGTGTTGATGTAGTAGATTACATTCTAGTAAATTGTACGATCTAATACAGGCCTGAATCTTGTCTGGACCTTGTAGGTTCCGTTATTAAGTTGTCGGTCCCCTCTTTTGATCAACGAAATGAGTCGAAGGATCATTCCCTCATTTTATGTTTAACACCAAAAAAAGATTGTGAACATGATAATATTATCGAATAATGAAGTTAACGTAATCAACGACAGGGATCAGAAAAAAATAGTTTCGAGAGCCAATTGACAAACTATATTTTCTTTAAAATGTAATGTTACAACTACTATTATTAATGCGCCCCTAACTCACAGGCGATTTCCAAACCTTTTGGGAAATTTCAGGAGTTTTATTTTCTTTTAACCCGTACAGTAAAAAAAATACCCCTTTTTGACCCAGACGAAACTTGAAATGATTGTGTATTATCATCGAAATCTATCAACAGATAGATGTTGGTGTTGATAGCTATCAACACCAAAATCACATTTGATTCCTGGACACGGAAGAATTGGGTAGCTCTATGTTCATTTTTAACCCAAACCAAATAAAAAAAAATTAAACACATGACCACAAGCACTTCCCCATATCAGACATTTTATTTAAAGAGCTTATGTAGCATGGCTTCAAAGTTTTAAACGAGGAAAAGTCCAGCAAGCGTTTCGAATCTCAAGTTATTTGGTTTGTAACCCCTTTCTGTGATGAAATTACAAGAAATGAGAATTCGCCACGGCATAATGTGGGGAAGCAGATTTATTCCAACGTCAAGAAATTAGCTGTCTCACCTTTCAAAGAGTTTTCACAAAGCCCAGAGCACTTAATTATATTCTGCCAGTAATCTTTTCAGTTCCCACGTCAAACAATTAACCAACTTACAACATTGTCCAGACAAGTTCAGACCTAACCAATTACTCACTTTGTTAATCATGTCGGTGTTGGGTTTATGTTTACGTCGAAATTATAATAATATTATTATTTGATTTCTTGGTAGTGGGATTGTGCATTAAATAACGCAAGCAATGAGTTCTCTCCGTGTCTCCATGCATCATTACAGGACTCGTGTAATTTTAATTGTAAAGTAAAAAGTAGGATTTGAGAATTCTCAGCTGTTGTCAGCAAATTTTATTTTATGAATGGGTGTTCACAGGATATTGATCTGTACAAGATCTGACCTTGTTTGAAATGGTTTATTGATTGGAATAAAATCACCAGTCGAACATGCAGTTTTCTTTTTGCTTTTGTGAGCCTTCATCGATTTTAAAATTAAAAATCAATAGCAGTGCACGTGCGTAGCATCAATTCACACGAGTGACCTCAATTTCATAATCGGTACTATCGATCAACTTAGCACGCGTTCCTGTATTCTCACATGACCCTGAAATGCGTGACAGTTAATGAGGGCGCCATTCACAATGTGCTCCGGTGATTATTTGTCAATAGAGGGCGCCACAAGTCACCATAGATCTCACAAGTCCTTTGCGCAGCCCCCCCCCCCCCAAAAAAAACCGTTTTGACAAAAACCTCTTTGATTTAGCAGTCATTCACTTCATACTCATTAACTTCATGCACAACCATAGTTTGAATTTTGTTGTGCAAAATACTTGAATGAGTTTATTTCTACTTAATACGCGTGTTTGTATTTAATGCATTGTCTCATTTTTATATTACGAAAAATAACGATCCCGGTATAAGGATTTAACCATAGAATCCGAACATAAATCTTTGTCTTTTCTAATCCCCACCTATTACTTGCGACTGACCTCTATTTCAATGTCCATTTAAACTTCGTCTGTGCATAATATGTCCCAGTTATTCCAAGTGCACGGTGATTGATTTATCAACAACAAATGAGAATGTGGCACTAATGGAGTTCTCAATTGTTTTAATGACGCGCTCGCTTCCTGGAATATACGAAGTAAGCTTGCCGCTCTTCACACGCTATGCCACTCTAATTGTACGCTCTCTCCCCGTTAACGCCATGCAACTGCACACGTGTGACACGCTATCATGTGTCGGCCCGGTAAACCTTCCTATAATCACACTTCATATTTTATTCCCGAGTCGAAACATAAAAAGAGCATCCCCCTCGGCAATCAAATTTGCGAGCAGAACGAAGCTCAGTCGCTGGCTTCCGCACGCTACGCGGGACTAGCTCCCCGTCCACTGGATTCCGCGTCCACTCCACCGACAGAAAATCGTTTACGGCCGGCCGAAGAAAGCAAGGTCAACCAACTGGAAATCGAATCAAACGGCATCGTCTCGGCCAACCCTTCCGGCTGTTCTTTCCTCTCTGTTTTCTTTTTTATTTCTCGTCACATCGGAGCTGTTTTTGTTAACGACTTTGTTCAATTCATAATTAATTCTCAGGAGAAATTTCAGATCTTGTCTGTTCACGCGAAGTGTTGCATAAAGTTGTCCCTTAAAAATTCACCAGGATATTGTCAAATAGAAATTAAATAACCAAAATATTTCATTGATTGTGATAAGCATTGTGATCTGCGAAGTTGGGTCCTGATCTTGTTTTATTCCAGTTAGCAACACCTAATATAGAAAACTCGCATTATTTATCCCAGTTTCGGATAGGTTTTTATCACTCTTCACAACTTTCCCCGCAACCGTCACATTTTGTACACCTGTCATACTTCCCGTAGCGTGCAGTTGTTCGGATAGTGTGAACTACATAATCTATGATTGTGATCTGAAATTGCTTTAGTGCATTCTTGGGCCGAACTTCTGCCAGCGTTTTCCACGTTTTTTTGTGAAACGACCGGAGAATAAACCCACAAACTCTCAGGGGAGATCTTCCAATATCCCACAGGACTACCGGATCTGCTGTCACGATGTGCCAGCAGAAGACGGGATGAAAAGGCAGGATAATCCGAATTACAACCACAACAGTGTTGAGCTTTCATGTTGGGAAAATTACATCCAGAAGTATCATGGAGTTAAGTACAGCTATCATGATTTTTGACATATTTCGAATAACAGGACGGGGCTATAGCCTAGTAGCGCTGGCCCAGAGCACATGATTTTCTGTTTAATGGAGTCACACTGGAGGGTTTTGTGTCAGGTCTACACAACGGGCCGAATTTGCCCTAAACTGAAAAAAAAAACAGTGTTCAGAGTTTAAACACTGTTTGTAGCTACTTTTTAAACATGTTTAAATCCACGACATGTTTAGATTTCAGTGAATGTATGTTACATGTTTAGGCATCCGTACAAAAAGCCCATTAGTACCATCAAGCATAAATTGAAAAAAAAACGACTTATCGGGGTTGAACTCAAAATAATGGCAGGCTAATGCACACTTTTATCAAAATTTCATTATCATCTGTCTACTAAAAATGAACATTGAAATATAATATGACTTTTTGAAAAAAGTTATTATTAATGGCACTATCAGGCTTTCATACCGTGCAAAATCCTAAACATGTCTCAAACTAAACACGAAAAAGCGGGTACAAGAGAAGTGTTTAAAAGCTATAAGTACCATAATTTACAAGGCAGTTCATTGACATTGCGTGGTGCTCCTATACGATAGCACTTCCTCGGCTCTCTTCATCGGCCTAAACCAGTCAAATTCACAAGTGACGGTGAGTCAGTCGGTCAATCAGTCAGTCGGTCGGGGAGTCAGTCGGTCAGACGGTCTGTCAGTAAGGAAGGTAAGAAGTGGACACTATGCTGCCCTCTATGACCAGTATTTAGAAAGTTGGCTTTGCATCCAGGTTGAATTAAGCTATAAATATCACTTTCAGCCCCTGGTTACAAGTCCAATATGATTAGCAACTGTTTTTCCATATGGAAAAACCTTCCCATATACTGACCTGAAGGTGTCTATTTTTTTCTATTCAAGCAGTGTCTAAAAATATAGAGCCGTGGTTTTGTGTTCGACTTCCGCAGCTTTAAATGCCAGCGCGCCGCCGGGGGAAATTTCGTGGGCAGTTCCGAAGCGGCGCCCGGGCTCGTGTATGGGTCGAGCTAGCCGCGGCAGCCAGTGTAACCGTAGTCAGTCTCGTAAAAAAAGTATTTCTACATCGGTAATTTCAAATCGTTGCCACTTTAATTATAAGTTTTAGAAGGTTTTAAGTTTCCAATTAGCTCGGATTTCAGCAGGGATTTATTATGGCGTATTCTTTGTCAATTTTCATTGACGGGAATAAAAACGATGAATTGGCTGTGCGGATGTAAGCATGAATATTATGTCCGGTCAATATCATTTCGCAGCTTTCATTTGGTTAGTTAGGCTCGCCAAGCTGCATCGCTGAGGGCGCTATATGATTCCACACTATGAGCTTCTGCTGGATCGATCTCTCACTATAATTCAGACCTGTTCCACAATCTTTCATTGTAAGTTCTAAGGTGTAGGTTCCTGAAATCCAACTGATGAGCTGTGGTAGACTATACTTTTTCAGTTGAAAATTCCAACCGCCGTATAGCTCTTCAATTGGTTTTTCATATGGCAGTCTAAAGTTGCCGCGCATTTAGTATTCAAATATATATGCAAGCTACCTGGGATGAGTTTACACACATAGCTCTCAACGCTGCGACCATGCACACAGTAATCGTGCATCCAACATTTACCATGACATTACCACTGTACCGCTGTACACAAACCACCAACCACGTGCACTAACATTACATCAACTACACGGCTGTAAATCACAAACGACGCACATGATGTACACGTCCACAGCTGGCTAACACAGCAGCTTAGTTCCGTTGCTAATGTTTAATCGTCAAGGTAAACCCCTGTAAAATCCCTGAGTCAATTTACTCAGTTTAGCAGTGACAGACCACAAAGATTTGTTGGCAAGTGTAAGCATGGAGCTCACTCCGTGGTGTGTAAGCCCTTCGTTGAGGGTTTTGATAAAGTATTGGCGCTGAATACAGACTGCTCCATTTTTGCTATGGTAAGGTATCGACAACAAAAAAATCTTTTGTTTGGTTATTTTATAATCGCAAAGTTTCATCATGAACAGGCTCAAACAAACTGGACAATGAATACAAACATTTCGCTGCAAAGTGCAAACTGAAAAACTACTGTACATCAGGTGCCAACGTTCCCCTTGCAAAATGAGGGGGGGGGGGAATCGTTGGACCCCGCGCGGTGTTCTAAACAGTTCATGTTTACATTTTTGATCCGGCTTTATGTTAAGGAATGCTTGATAAGATATAGTATTTGAAGAGGAAGACCAACAAGGAATGTACCATGTAGTAGGCTAATTCTTGTCCAAAAGTAAACTAGTGGGTTGAATGGTTGGAACGAGGGCTGAGCATCGTTTAGTCCAAAACATCTCCGCGACTGTACGCAGCATGCATGCGGCGCTACACGCTATGTGCATTGTGTATGGGACAAGGAAGTTATACATTGTATGTTGCCAAACCAGGGCCACACACACACTAAATATGTATATACATGTACATGTACATTGTACATGTAGTACGGACCAAGGCAGGGACTGTGCATGTGATGCAGATTATGTGCCAAGTCTAGTTGCTGGTTTTTTTTGTCAGGCACATGAACCATGAACTCACATTTTCAGTGCAAGAATTTTTGGCAGTTAATTCGCAAACTTCTGAAGAAGAAAAAAGCCAGTGAACTATTTCGAAAGTCTGTTTGTCACTCCTTGTTTTTACATAGTATATTTTCTCTCCTTTCTTTACTTTTTGCTTTAGCTGGCTTCGATACTACTAAGGAAGGGTTGTTGATGTACGTTTACCTTTTTAAGGGGGGTGAGTGAAATTATTCTTCAGGGAAAGATTTTTTTCGGTAGTGGTTAATGGTAATAAATCAGATGTTGTGGCTCCATCCATATTTGAGGAATTTAGCCCCCCCCCCCCCAAGTTGTATCATAGAGGAATAAGAACAAACCTACACCGTTAATGTGAATTAAAAGTGTGGTGCAGAATGCACTAGTCTGGAGAAAAAATATCAGCTACAGAAATTAAAAGGAAACTCCAATTAGAAAAAGATGACAGCCCGCCACTCCAGTCCAAACCAACGTGTACCTTGTAGGGGTTGGATATGATGTGTACATGTAAATGTACATGTATTTACATATGCACGGTGCTATAGTACACACGTTTATGGTGCGTTCTGCGGTGGGGTGGGATGGTCAAGCTACGCTGATCACATGATTGACAACAGCGTGCACTGTGCAATGGGCCACTGCGGTCACCACTTTGTGAATGAAAAAAAAATGCTCCACGCGTTTAGTTTGCTCAGCGCTCCGCTAGCTGTGTGTATAGCCATATCCTTGCTCTATATCTAGCTGCAGTCACCGGTTCAGATGTGTATTTGATATGACGGGTTATACTCGAATACTATTGAGTGTGGTAGTTTTCTGAGCTGTGGATGCATCTTGTATTGGGATTGACTCCAAGCACGTGGAAAATATTACAAGTATAAAGTATCCCGCATACTCTGATGACTTCATAATAAGTGGAGAAAGCACATTGAGTGAACTGCTCAGATGGTCTGACAAGGGGGATGTGATGTGAGCTCATCATAATACTGTAAGCTCCTACCTGGACACATGGTCTAGACAGTTTTCAAGTGAAAACGACTTTCTTTATTCCTTGAGCTTTTTTTTTTCGTAATGCCACACCGTCACGGCACAGGTACGTCACCAGTCGTCCGACCATTAACAGAGCCCCAGTCCGTTGGCATAACATCACCGAAAATTTAAGTGAAAAGACAGAGATAGGGCTTCCAACGCCCCATTAACTCGAGTTGCCTGTGGAGGGTACAGTGGGGGCTTTTTGACGGTACAGGACTACCCTGACACGCTAGGCGACCTCTTGTATGCCCTGACGCCAATCGGTCGTGTGTCTGAAGTCTCGCTGGAGACTTGAGCCGGGTTGGGACTACCTACGCCCCTGGGTTGTCTCGCGAGGTGTTTCCCCGGACACCTCATTCCATTCAACTCGGGAAGATAGCACAAACACGGCTTTAACTGCTCGTTCACCCAGGAAAAGAAGAATTACAGCGGACCCTACCCATTTCTGGTCCATGACAAACTGGCTTGGAGATTTGTTTTGACATGTGAGCTTGTAGCGTTGCACACCAACGTCGTTTATTTTTATCTGCAGCACGTGTACATGCGTTCGCGGTATGTACATGCACATGTAGGTTTTGGACTATTTGGATCATGATGTAAAACGAATTATTATGCGCATGCCGGCGTGTGAACTGTTAACTGTTTCATGTTTTGTGACGCTTTGAGGATTGATTTGGAAAAGCTGTACCCAAACAAAATGATGGGAATAAAAGTGAAATGGAACAGTCGTGAACTTGCTTCTCTCTTCAAACTTCTTCTGTTTCTGTGGTGGGTCGCGGACAGGGCGTGTGGCCAGCTAGTTGGTAAGTTGTGAAACCTAGTTTTAATATAACTTATAGACATTTCAGTTAAAACACTATCATGTAAATAACCATAATGATTTATTTAATAATCTATCACTGTCACTGTTTGTTCACAGGTTATTTCTCCCCCACAGCAGAAAATTAGAAATGCACATTTGGTGCGTCATCTGTTTTTAAATAGACTTCCGTGTTATCTTTTGAACCCAAGGTTAAAGTTGTAAAATGTGCATGAATGGACCGTGATGAAATTATCACTGTCGAGATTCCAATACAGATTGTGTATTTTGGGAGAGGAATGCTGCAAACGTATGGTACTTCTCTACTCGTTTGAAAATATCAGTAAAAAAAAATAAGTGCTTTAAAAAAAGCTCTGCAATAATATTCCTGGGTGGGCCATTTTAACAGTTGCACTGCTGCCGTATTTTCGCACCAAATGCACTTTATTCCAAGCCACCGTTTTTAACTTTACAAAAGAGTCATTACCCTTCCGGGACTAAAAACCGGTCCATTTGTCAGCTGTGGCTGATATGATTCACTAGACGAACCCATAAAAAGGGACTTTGCTGGAGTTTATAACCCCCCTCAAAACTTGATTACAAACTCCAGTATGTCCACGTGTACACAACAGAACGCGCCTGCTGCGGGCTGTATCATGTGTGTGAATGGAAAAAAAGCATCCCTTGTGTGATGTACAGTGCAGTGCAGTGGGTGACGAGTCTATACTCGAGACTGGTGACAGTTATCTTCCTTCTAATCATCGGTCTATTGTCGGCTTGTCCCTGCCGCAGCGCCTCCGTGCCGCGCGCTCGCACGGTGACTTGTCAATTAAAGGCAGATTTTCGGTTCCCGGATTTTTTTTTTTTACGACGCGGAGACGAAGCCAGTAAGTCTAGGGCCCGTGCGCCGTGTGTGTGCAGCGCCGGCCCAGCCCGCGCCCCCGACTGACCGCTATGTCCCCTCGTTAACGCTAATCAAATTGGACGTTTTTATGGGCGGGTGATAAATTTTTCAATTGTGGGCTGCCATCACTATCCGCAACATACAGCCGGCGACTCCCCTACAATTTTCCCCTTTAACTTTAACACGGGGCACCCAACCATTTCTTTAATTAACGGAAATGCCCAGTTTGCGCCCAGCGTATTTACGACCGCATTCCATGATAAATTATCAATCCAAGTTATGCAAACAAGAAATTAGCTTAATTATTATTTGCAAAACTGAGGACAGTTTGGATCAATCAAAATGTGAAGTTTCCAATGGAATCTGTATTCTTTCTGAGGAGAGTATAATTTATAGGCATGTCCACATGCAAGGGGGTGCTGAAGTTTTGATATGTCGTGTGTTTTCCTTTAACTTCAACAAGGGAATATTTTACACGCGTTTACCGGCAGTGTCGCGCCACGAGGCCCCTATGGCATGCATGCGACTCGGTCTGAAAAGCAGTGCAAACATCGAGGTCAAAATACGCGTGTTGGAACATAACGACAAACGGAGTGATCGTTTTGTCCGCTCAAGTAGTAACCCTTCACTGGCGGGCAACGGTCAATTTCGTTCCTCGAGATTTCGTGATTCGATCATCGTTTTACAAATAAAACTCCTCCAGTGTGGAAGACACTCTGTCGCTTGTGCCAGCCGAGTCAAAAAGACTGTAAACTTTTTTTACGGCCGATTTTTCGCCATTGTAATTCTCGATAAGCTGTATGAGTGACTGAACAACTTTACTCACCGGGGTCCTTCTATTTGTTTAGAAATGAATGGAGAGTATTGTCCGAGGTTCCTGACCTGGGTTTTATCTGCATTTAATTATCCTCATTTCTGGTGGTAGTTGGTGATCAGTGATATTTTATTGCATTCAGAATCAGAACTATATACCGTAAGCCATATTTTAATCTTACAAGCTACAGTGAAAGGAAGTTTATTGGTATCTTGTAAGTCCAGAACACTAACACGTGGTTTACATTAATAATTTTTGTATGTGCCACTGGGAGAGAAATCACTCATACACATACTGATATTATAAGACGTGGCACCTTCCTGAACCTATAAATGAAGTTTCCCCTTTTGCGCTACCAAAGGATGTGTGCGCATTTCCACTGTTTCCAGCCCCGTCACTTGAACCATTGCTGCCCCGCAATCATTATTACTAATGACAGCTTGAGTTGCTCGAGTCTGGAACCCAGAAAACACTGTCGTGTATTCCTGCCCTTTGCAAGAGAGACGCGCTCACTGTCGCCAGACTAATCCTCACTGAAGATTGCAAGTACAGATTTTAGTAAAGGGGTTCAATAATAAGTGGCTCCCTTGTTTCTAACAAAGGTAGCCACGCATTGTACTTGTATATACACTGTATTCCTTCTTTTGGCAGTGGTAAGCCTACTTGTTATACGGCATTGACGTTTTGTTCACAATGATTTGAAGGGAAAAAAGCCTCGCGCTCCCAGTTCCACAGACTTTCTGTTAATATACAAAAAAGGGATATAGTTATTGGTCAAGACCTCTGACACCAACATAGCAAGTACGTGTTAATAGCTTTCGCCGATTCAAGGCGCCCAGTGTTCAAACAGATTAGACTTAGCACCTTTAGGACAGCGCACCACGGCTTGTGTTGGAGGCTAACCGCAGATCGGACACATTGACTAATTAGCATTGTTGGGTTTGTTAAACATTGTGACACCTGCTAATTAATCCTAGCTTCCTGTTGTTAATCCACACATACTTAGTCCATCATTATATATACACGTCATTGTACAGAAAAGAAGTTTCTTGTCTAGGCTTTTTGAAATGGAGGCAGCCCCCCCCCCCTCCCCAAGATTGCAGGTTTTCCAAGTGGAGCGATCGCTTCTTCAATTTTCTCGACTCTTTTGCTGATAATTTTGTGTCCAAGAATCCGTCAGCTTTTCTACAAGATTTTGAATTTGCATATGTAGCTACAATTTTGCTGGAAACAAATAAATAGACATAATGTATTGCAATTTATGATTTAAGAAAGAAAAAAAAGGTGGCCGAAAAAGGGAAGCGGGTGGGGATGAGAAATTGATTTATTTTATTTATTGGCCTGACACATTTCTTTAGATTCGAGATACAAGAAGACATTTATTCCATACTCATTTTAAAAAATATTCAGCGTGGGGAGTGTTCCCATAGTCCAAAGCGCACAAAGTGCGTGTCATTGGACACCTGCGTCCCTTCAGTTTGTCTTGTCTATTTGTGTTTCTCATAAATTCATGTGGAAGAAATAGGCTACTCATCCTTGGGTGGAACGACCTGGCAAATGTGCCGTGACAAATTTGGACAAATGTTTTTACTAAACACGACCTTCTTTTATGCATGCATGTGGCTGATTTATGTCAACTCACCACCCAGTATTTTTTTTGGGGGGGGGGTACCCTTCTGAATTTTGTCACCGGTAACTTCCCTTAGCTGTAAATATAACCATTCCGAATAGAGTATACACCTCTTAAGAAAGCAGAGGCTTTTAGCGGAGGTGGAAAAGGTGTACTAAATTATCTGGAGCTTTCTTTTTTAACGGCGTGAGCATGTGGCAGTGACTCCTGCGTCTGTAACAAGATTTTGCTGGCGCCGGAGAGATGTGGACGCTTTGCTCTGCTGAGAGTCCTCGAGCACTCTGTCTTGAGCTGTGCGAGACCGTACGAACTGGACTCCGGTAACATTTCTATGTCCTGTATGTTTAAGTAGAGATTGCGCTTTGAGGAAAATTCTGTGTCTGTCTCTGTATTTCCAAGACTGACTTTGTTTACGACGAATGGTTATTCCCGTTGTTACTTGCTGATATATTATCGTCAAGGCCATTCTCTCTCAAAGCATCTATTTTTTGCGTGGGTTTTCAAACAGTTACAGTTTAATTAATTCAATAAATAAGTGCCACGTTTTAAATTTGTTTCATACCAATTATAACCTCGGGCAAGAGACCAGCTTTCTGCAGCATCTCGAGATCAGTGCTGCAGTGCAACTCAAGTCTGGTCTTGAGACAGGCTGTTGTACTAAAGAGTCTTGCCCGTGAACACAAAGTATACACTTTTCTTGTTTCCTGTGGCAACATTTGTTCACTCATACAGGTGGATGTGTAATATTCAGCAAATAATATGGGCGGTGTTTAAAGATGGTTTCCATCAGCATTGGTTTCACCTGCAACTTTGACAGCAGGTCTTACCCTCTGGCCTGGCCTCTCCGCGTCTGGACAGCGGAACGAACTCTAGCAAGTCCAGACTTTTGGCGGATGGAACAACGCGTGTGTACTCTACAAGCTATTAGGCCTCAACATCTGGCCGCGCGCGCCGATTGAAAGTGACAGCAGTTGACCCAATCCGCCATCTTGGATTATATGAAGAAGCCATGATGCTTTGGGACAAACTCGGCTGGCTTGTTGAGGTCAATGTACATGTGGCTGGTCACAAGCAGCAGACTGCTTTAACTTTTACCTTCCGGAGTAGTAGTGGAGATCACAAGTCCGGTTACAGGTCCAGACACAAGTAAAAGGGGATGAGCAGTAACACAGGAATGCCTTTGTCTGAGCTCATTTGAATAACTTGTGACTTGACTTACCATTGGATAACTTGTGATTGATTTGGGAAGCCTTTTTTGGACTTACGATGGAGTCGACTACACTTAACACTGTAAGGGGATCAGGATCGCCTTCCACCGCCGTGACCCGGGTTCGATTCCCGCCTGGGCCAATGTGGATTGGGTTTTCAGTCCCTGCCTGATTCCGTGGGTTTCCCTATAGAATATCGTTCTGGGTCTTTCTCTCACCACTAAAACTGTAATTTATGTCCACATCTTCAAGTTCAACCAAGGGACCGCACTGGAAATAAGTCGAGAGACTTTCGTGGGCTGTCCCGGCCAATTGCCAAATAATTACAAACGAACAAACTACAAACAATCTTCCCAGCTTTGCTTCATATGTCATGAAAGCTCACATTTGTTATTATCATCCCAAAGAAAATGTTTCACAAAATAAAACAAGTAACCTTAGATCAGCA